TGTTTGAATTAACTACTTAGAAAATGTTAAGTGATAAGTCAATCGTAAAGTATATATCCATTTAAATGTTATAATACTATACCATTAAGTTTGTATTTAGTGTATCTTTATTAATTCAATAAAATATTGTACACCTTGTTTATTAATTACAAATAAACAATTTTATTTATTTTAGTGATGATTCTAAAGTGTTATTTAATAAATTTAAAAAATAGTTTTTTTATTTATTTATAAAAGATTAAGATGAAATTTTATTTATTATCTGAAGAAATGACTTACACTGAGTGACGAAACATCAGAAAAATCTAATCGTCCTACTCATTGGGATATTACAAATATATGAGGTTATTTATAACAATTTACATAATGTTCAATTCATTCAAAGTTATCAAATCAAAACTTGGTAATGATATCTAATGAGAAGTAGGAAAAGAAATCAATTATCTCATTTAAATTTACTTATTATTGTTTGTTTGAATCTTCTCATTGATGCTTTTGGACTGGAACTGGTCAGTCTCTAACTGACATATGCGCATACTGCTTCGATATAGCCTTATTTCACAAGCATTATAAGCAAAGATGGATAGTGGCTAGTAGTGGAATCCAGGACGCGCGTTTCGTCCTATTAGGGACTTGTCAGCTGGATGTTCCTGCATCTCAGAGTTGATATTCACTCTGGTACTCGAACCCAGTACCTTTCGCTTCAAATACCATCGCGTTATCCACTCAGCTAAAATTTATTTTCAATGTACATTATCAACTTTATATTAAACATTGAATCTAAATATTTTATATATTATAACAAATTTTATGTTATATAACTGAAGAATTGATATCAACTGCCTCATATTTTCTAAAATTAATCAATATATAATATTACATGACTACTAAATAGGATTGTCAATGAATACTGATTTCACATTAGATTTGATCAACTCTATTTCACATAAGTATTTACTAGACATTCAAGAATATTCACTTATAGGTAAGTTATTCTAACACGGTGATGCACATTAGAGATTTCATGAAGACAATTTTTTAAAAATTTAGATTCCAGTTAACTGATGGACGGATTTTAAAAAACAAAAGCATGAAATAATGTTATTAAGAAAATACTGTCCATAGTTTATTCATAGATCTGTCCTTCCATGAATTAGTTATTTTATCGTTTCAAGACGAAACAACTCAGTTGCTGCAGACATAATTTCTTGAAGATAATGTTTAAAAACGATGTATGCTTCGATTTATGAATAATGACTAGTGTTGTTTCTTATATCCATTTAAATTTAATCTAATTTTTTATTACTGACTAACATCACCTTCAAAGTTACAGAATCGAATCATTAGTTTAAACAAAACATGTACAACATGGAATATATTTGGATTCGCTAATCGATAAATTTGAAGATTAGTTCAGTATGGAATTATCAGACTTATCTTTTTCTTTAAAAAAAAAGGTTTGCTCGAACATTTCTATTCATATTTATTTATTGTTAAATGATTTTTATATTTTGATGAATGTTTCCAGAAATTTCATAACATAATAGTTCGAAAATTAACGACACAGTAGAATTTATGACTTTCAATTCGAATTGTTACTAGTTATTTACAATATAACAAGAGAACTGAATATGACCTATAGTTTTCTTCTCAGTAATGAAATGCTTACTGTAATTAATAAACCAGTATGTACGATAAGATCAGGGAATAATCTTCAAACTATAGTTTATCTATAATTATAGATCAGAGGGGGTTTTGTAGAGAATTTAGTATTTTCACAGTTGAAATCATGAGTCAATTGAAGCAGTGACCAGTGGAGTTCTACCAGGTCTTTTGTAGAGTTATCAGCTCACTGAAGACAATTGGTGGACGGTCGCTAAAAATCGTGGATTGGTTGAAGTTAGACATTAACACCATTGGATGCCGGCTCAGTGGTCTATCGGTTAAGGGCTTCGGCTCGAGACTGGTAGGTCCTGGGTTCGAATCTCGCGGGTGCGGGATCGTGGATCCGCACTGCTGAGGAATCCCATAATAAGACAAAACGGCTATCTATAATTACTCAATTGCATGATTATCTTTTAAAGGATCCTATCTACATCTTTTTGCTGTGAATCGGCTTCATATATCCCAAGACAGTTTGATAAATATATAAAATAACATAGCTTTATAATCAGAGATGTTGTGGGGATTATTTTCATAATTTGATAAACGGAAAGGAACATATTGTATTAACTATTTTTTTGTAAACACTAAAACCACTTATTATTTTGTAAAATAACAGATCACTTTGAATTTGTAGAGACAGTTTTATTTGCATTTTAAATATATTAATAAGCTGTTTCATATCACGTGATTGAAAAGACTTTTTGTTTTATTAAAGATCCTCTGAAAAATTTGTCCATAAACTGTTTTATATGGTGAAAAAAAAATGTGTATACATATACATCAACGTAATACGTATCATTCAATTAAATACTGAAATGTTTCTTCCTGAAAAAAAGAGAAAGAAATGTCTTTCATGGAAATTTTTATGATATAAAATATTTTGAGTATTCTATCAACATTAAGCAATTTATTTAAAAATTCGTTATAGATAGTACAAATCCTCACTTAAGAGTTCGGAAAGATTACTATTGAAAGATGACCTCGTTTTCACGATTATTTTGAATAATATAGTGCTACCAAACATATGTACTATTAATTCTGAGAAGGAAACGTTTACAGTATAGACTTTCTAGCAAACCTAACATTCTACCGCTTTATGGACATTATTTGGTTACTGAAATCAAGAGATTTTTTTTGGAAAAAAAGTGAAATTACCACGAACGTTTTGAACTGACTAAAAATGTCTTAAGCATTTCACAAAGTTTACTGGAATAATTCTCAGTGACACATAGACTGCTTTATGGACTATGTCAGGAACATTTAGAATGAACTTTCACGAATAAACACAACTATTTATAAAAAAAAGCTGTTATAGATTTTGCAGGGAATCATTATATAGGGCAGTCACTTGTTTCGAAATCCACAAACTGAGATCATTATTTAGAAATGATAGTGCTTACAGGAAAGCCACACACGAAAATAAATATTTTGCTTTTGTCACAAGCGATATCTGTTGATAATGAACTACTAAACTCTTAATGGTAAGAAAAAAACATTGATGCAATTCATTTATGAAACATTTTTTGATTGGTTGGAGAAATGTATTCTAATCATTTAATTTTCAGTTTGAGGTTGTGGAGATTGTTAAATTTCATAGGAATCATGAACTGATCAATGGTAAACCACCACTGATAAACTGGACGGCCATTTCATCCTAGGATGTGACTCTTCGGCAGTGCGCACCCACGATTCAAACCCATCCACCTAGGTTTCGCCTATGAACGCCTAACCTATAGATCAATATGCCGGCTGAGTCGCAATTTCAGTGAAATCCAACAATCTTCACAACCCCAAACTGAAAATTATTGTGCTCACTAGTGCCTAGCTTGGAGAAGGAATGCTCGGAATTCTATTGAGCAGCCAGGACCAGTGGGGTTCAACCGTCCCGAGTGTGAGGCAGTTACCTACCAAAGGTAGTGGAAAACGGTCGAACAATATCATGAACTGGTTAAGGTTAAACACTAACGCCGATGAATGCTGGCTCAATGGTCTAGAGGTTAAGCTTACGCGCGGAACCGAAGGTCCTGGGTTCAAATCCTGCGTGCGGGATGGTGAGTTAGCACTGCTGAGTACCGTAATGGGACGAGATGGCCGTCCAGTGCTTGCAGGAGAGAAATCTAGTCATGCCAAGTTTTAATATTATCAGTTAATCACAAAACAACCTCATAACAAACTAAACTTTAGAAATTTCTACCCTTAGAAAATATAATCTTTGTTTAATGTTAATTCGAAATAAAAACCAGGCTTATTTGAATTAAAATAAGTAGTTTTGTACAATCTATTTCCTAACAAATTTAAATGAGGTTTCCATAAACACAAACAACCATCAGACTGATTGCTTGTATTTTATGAGTGTTACACACAATTGCAGAGCAATTTGACCTAGTTTGAACATTTTAAATGCTACGAAATACATATAGATCCAAAGTGAATTAATAATATAATTTATTTTGCCCACAAACACGAAACATAATTATAATTCTTATAGTTGAAAATACCGAGCAGACAGCTTTTAGACTAGAAAATCATTACAAAACATTCCAGCTATAAATTATGGACATAAATTTGAATAATCAGGTGAAATATCTTTCATAAAAGTGAGCTAAATTGAAGCACGTTAGATTTTATACGAAAACATACTCAAGATGAGCTGAAATATAGTCCCATGAATGTGAATAAAATAATAAGCGTCTGTAGAACGAACACATTTCTTCAATAATAAATTTCAAACAGTGAAGTATAACCTCCTGATATAATTAACAAAACTTCTTTTTGGTTGGAGCCTGTGCATTATTCGAAATGTATGACCAGAGAAGTTAAGAAGCGCGTCCCAAAACTAGATAGTGGTGCAGTATTGATGAGACAGTAATTTATGGACGAACTAATCAGAATTAAAATAACAGGCCTTAGATATTGGTGGAAAATCCATTCATTCATCTGCTTAAATATCATTTAAGCATCACAGCTGATGTCAGTTCATGATAAAAATATTGAATCTAATTTTTAACTCTAGCGTTCAACTGTAATTCCTAATCCTGATTCCTCACACTAATTTATAACCCTCATTTAACCCTAGTAAGCAAGTGAACATTTTCAAGGTCATTTGAGCGTTACTCAAAGGTTAACCATGAGTTACAGCCTGACCGGTGTGGCATCTTGAATAAAAAAATACTACTTCCTATTACTGAATGACATAAGGCATTTTTCTTCCACAGTATAAACTCATTACAAGAAATAAAAATGAACAATTTAAAATTGAATCTTATTTTCATTACTTTTTACTTGAAATCAGAAACGTACATAATTAAAAATACATAGATATATATACAAATACACCAGACCATAAATAAATAATTTATAAACAAATCAACTAATTAGTTCTTTGTCTTTCACGGCGATGTTTATCATTTGTATTTTTACTACCCGTAGGTGGTTGTCTTCCTTTATTACTATTTTTCGCCATTGATGTCGTCGTCTTCTTTTTCTTCGATGTTATTACTTTCATAACACGACTTTTACTGCTTTTGTTAGATGTCTTTTCTTTTATTAATTTACTGCTACTACTAATCTGTTTACTACAGTTTTCCATACAATCTATACGATTTAATCCAGGCAATTTTAAATTTCTCTCAGATTTATCATTTTGTGAATTGTGGATTATTTCAAAACCAGCAGGAATATCCAAATCCAATCTTAAACGACGTACTAAATAAAGTGTACTAGCTATTTCTTCTGGAATAGTGGATCCATTGAATTTATCATCTTCAAGTGATAATAAATTTAGTATTCTCTCTGAAGATGTTGAAAACTGACTGGAAATTTGATTTAAATTAATTTGATGAGCATCTTTACTAGATAAAAAAAATTAGTCAAAAACAAACAATTAATGATATTTCAAAGTTACAATTAGTGAGAGCATAATTTACACGTTATATACATATATTTTTCTGCTATTGAAATACAAGATGATTAATACGCTGAATTGGCAAAGTTCACGTACTTAACTAAATATGTTTAATAAACAAGTCTTGAAGATAAATACCCATGAAGCTGACTATAAAAGAATTATTTATTTATTTGAACACATAAATATTGGTACAAAGAGGCATCAGATACATATGCGCCTCACAAATGTCATTTGATTTGTGTGAGGGCTGTGATACTGCTCAGATGCCCAAACCGAAGCAGGTGGTTTTCTTAGGGGACCACACCCGTAGCCTTTGACCTAAAGATCTGATCCACAAGGCAGTGGAGCATCGTAAGGAAATACAGTCCCATGGTAGCCAGTGACCAACAATTGATTCATACGCCATTTGTTCCTTGAGGATACTGGAGCCCATATGCACCATTGGTTTGGAATCAAGGTTTTCCAAATCCTCTAGGTGGACCCTTCATATCCACCAACCCGGTTAAAGCGTCGGATATTCGTTTTTCGTCCTCTCACTTTCGTAAACAACACCCCTGCCACGAGAAGGCGGTGAGTAGGACTTCCCTGAGAGCGTGGTCATGTAAGAGCATTTCGAGAGGGAGAGAGGAGTCTCCCCATCCTCAACCGTACCAGGGCATTTGTAGGCAAAACATGAAAAACAAACATTACCTAAAATTCAATTATCCAATGGTCACGTTAGATAACTTTTGGAAGGATTTATTAAACAAGGCTGTTTAAACATCTAACATACGTTACTTAGAAAGCTCAGTAAGCGCGCGTATTAAGCAGGTCAATTAAGTGCATCTAAACATTTCTGAGGATAATAATATTCGAAGTGATTCAAATTTATTTCAGACAATACAAATGAAAGAATGTTTCTGATAATGAGAAATCGAAGACTTGAAAAAACACACATATTTTATCATTTTGAGATAAACAAAAAGAAACCAAAACATAATTAGGTGATGGCTTTTATAAACACTTAGGTTAGTTTTTATTTTTGCAATTAATTAACAATTATATACAACCTATCTTTTATATATCACCACCACTAAATTAACTACTATGAATCCGGTGTTCATCTTGTTGTGCTAACGAGGTATGGCAACTTGGACCGATGCATAAATGTGCCTGGTTCTACGTTGTAGCTGACTGACTGACTGATATATTGGCTTGAACTTGAAGATGAAACAAGTCATCATAATTTTAAATCACTCAGTTTTGTAAGACTGATTGTATCTGTTAAGACAACATGCAGTGTCCAAGGTTGTTTCTGATACACAAAACGTCAAATACCCAAACTCCTAACCGACCACTGACTGAGTGAGAACATTAGGTGCGAAAGAAGTTTATTGGGTTCAACAGAATCATATGAATAAGCAGCCATTTATTTATGTATATATACTCCTTAGAAAATGAAATTATTTAATGGCCAATAATATATCTTTTTAACTAGAAGTTTTTGATTGGCACAACGTGGGCTTTTCCATTGGAGAATTTGATTGGCCCATTGTATAATCATTCTGCGCATTGTCAGTCATAAAGCGTACTTATCACTTCGAGCACTGAAATATCGTTATAGTGACTGCACGAAAGTTTTTTCAATAATAATACAAAAATACAGAAAGTATGGTTATCCAAAAATTTTTCAAAACAATCACAACTTAGCCAAAGTTGAAGATGTAACGCGAGAATCAAAATCATATGTATGTTCAAAAATCCTATTATTTTAAACATCATCGTTTTCTACGAAACTGTTGGGGATGTCAAACCCCCAGAACTTACTTGGTAAATGGCTTAGTTTTGTAATTTTATTTTGGAAATTTGAATTTACCTGTTTTCGCGCCAAACGCGCTCTTTTACCTTCACGTCATATTTCTTACTTGTAAACTATCTTAAACGCTATTGGTTCATTGTTTCTTTGTGTGTGCTATTTATTAATGATGCTCAAAGACAATTTGTTGCTGTATAAATGCGCTTGACTTTTTCCCTTATTTGATTGCTTGTACTCGGCTGCATACGGAATATATATATTCCCCTACTTGCCTTGGACTTCTTCATCTAGTTAGCGGGGCCTGGGACAACAGATCAGAATAGCTTATCGTATCATTGGCTTCGTTCGTTACCGCGGAATCGATTTAGTTCAAGCATATCAGAAACCTAATAATACAAAGTTCGTGGGTGAACAGCAATGAGACATCCATCAAGATACATAAAAGACTTCAATCATTATGAAAAACCAGTTTAAATCCATCCATTACTGAGAAGAAGATCTTCACAGTTTGTCAGTATCAAGAATTGAGAATTCAGGTTTTAGTCTTCAGAGTTCTATTCAACTAAGTTTGAATCTATATAATTAATAACAAGATTACAAAGATCATTCGACTGCTAGGGCTTCATTTAGTCAAAATAATCAGCATTTTTTTATCTATTGATAACAAAGAATCCAGAATTTAGTACTCATAGTGAAAATCCCATAGGCAACTGTGATAATTCAAGTGCCGAACAACACTCCAGGAGTATGATTCCAAAAGAACTGACTTATTCAAACACCAACATTATTCATGATAGGTTTTTCTTTGAAATAAATAAAACAAATCTTAGTTAAATGACAACATTTTCGCAAATAATATATGATTGGCGAAAACTTACTCAAATGATTGATTATCACTGACAGATTGGTAAATATCAAACGAATTATCGGATGCAATCTTGGTTTGTGTTAGTAAATAGGATCCAGGTTCTAAACTGGAAACAAAATAAAACACGTAAATTAGAATAACCTTTAAATAACTTTGAAAAAGAGTAATTTATCACCTTCAAAATAAAAAATGTAAATTAAGGTGAAAAAATTAATGCTTTCAAATTTTTAATTATTATCAAATAATGCATATTCAGTAGTTAAAATAGGTTTAATAACTTTACTTGCATCTAGAAAAAAAACACTTTATGTCAATAAACCTATGAAATCAAGATGACTCTAGTTTTTAAAACTTTGAAACTGGAAAATAATTTATACCACGAGATTATTTCAGCCAGACAACTATCAAGGACAGACGAGCATCGAGAGACTTTCTCATCATAGTGTGAGACTACTCATGAGAATGTGTTCACAACTCATCCTCCACCAAGGACTGAACATAGGAACATTGCAGAGAGTACTGTCTTTAAACCACTGTGTTATCAACAACTGGCCCATATTTTTAACTTCTACATCAAGTCGTGATAATAATTAAACGATATGACATTACAACAGAAAATAGTCTGTTAGATTAACATGCAAAAAATATCAATGAAATATTTCGAAATGTTCATTTGTAATTAATTTTTATTTTATCGCAATACAAGTGCTTATGATATAAGATCTGGTAAACAGAGAGGTTTAAAATAAATGTGACTAGTCAATTTGCTGAACTTAAAGGCTACCAGGAAATCCTTATATATCAGGACCCTGATCGTGGTGTTTATATATATAGTATTTCTTGTAAATTTGCTAACGATACTATTTATTGGGAAATGTTTGTGGTTCAATTCATTGTTTATAGTCCTGCTGTCTAGAAAACATTGTGTTCACAGTGTTATCTGATATATAGAGAAAAGAAAATGCATCAAAAACCTTTGCCTGGAAAATTATTTACTGCCAAATGTTTCATAAGAAGCAAAATAAAAGGAAAATAATTTTCTTAATGAACTGAATTGAAAAAATTTAGTGCATTCAACATACAAATTCGTAAATATTCAATATTAAACACTGTACTCTATCGTATCAATATTTGTTGGGGATGTTAAACCCCCAGAACTTACTTGGTAAATGGCCTATTTTGTAATTTTATTTTGAAAATTTGAACTTCCTTGTTTTCGCGCCAAAAGCGCTATTTTTACCTTCAGGTCGAATTTCGCACTTGTAAAATATCTTAAATGCTACTGATATGTTGTATCTTTGAGTGTGCTATTTTGTAATGCTGCCTAAAGACAATTTATCGCTGTATATATACGTTTAAGTTTTTCCCCTTATGATTTGTTTGTACTCGTCTACTTACGGAATATATATTCCCCTACTTCGCCTTGGACTTCTTCCTCCAGTTAGCGGGGCCTGGGACAACGGATTAGATTAGCCTATCGTGTCACTGTGTCATTGACCTTCGTTCGTTTACCGAGAAAATCGAATTAGCTTAAGCATATCAATATTATAATCAAATTTTTTTTGTGTTTAAAAATGTTTTCACAGCTTGACAACAGTAAGAGTATCGTCTAGAACTAGGAAGCACTACTAAGGAAGTATTTTGTCCTATTTGAGACGCAGGTACATCTAGATGACAAGTTCTAAATGAGGAAAAGCGTGTCTGTTGAATTCCACTGCTGTTCACAATTCATCTACTCTAAATAAACTGAGACAAAATGAATGTATTGGAGGTAATCCTCATAGAATTCATATATGCCAATGAAATTTAAACAAAATCTAGTCCTGAATATCTACAACAGGATAACTGAAGTCCTAGCTAATAATGAAATAAACATCATATTCGCTGAACATGTTAGTGCTGATTTAAACTCATTAGTTCAGCGGATAATGAGTCGGTGCTTTAAGTAAAAAAATTTCAAATATTTAAACTCGACATGAAAGTAAATTGCAACGTCGGGTAGCCTAAAATATGCAACCAATTCTTAGTACTTATAAGAATAATAACTTCCCTACGAGTGAAAATAAAGCTACTAATTAATAAATATGGGAAAAATAAGTATTCTTACTGTAATTTCAAGGTATATTTAGATGTTAATCAATATACGATAGCATTTTCCGGAGCAACACGAACTGTAGAATTTTCTATGCTGAATTTTTATATCATACTTAAAACTCTTACGAACCAATCAGTTCATGGTAAACAAAATATAAGCAAGCACATATATCTAGTAAATTGAAGTGTCACACCTCGTAGTAGTACGGTTATATTGATTCTTTACATTGTTTTAAATCTTGAGCTTAGTATCATTCCATACATTTCATTCAGTGAACTAATTTATTGTGAACCCATCTTTAATGTTCAACATATTATTCACTCTAGTTGACATTATTTTTACTCATCTGCTGCACAACTTTCTAGTTTCCTCTCGTGTGAGATGCCGCTACTCGGACTGAAATATACTACAAATAAAATAAAAATTGCCTAACACAAAAAAAACTTTAACATAATTAGATCCAAGTGAAATGATTCCCTCAGTAAATTAGTCAGCTACAACGTAGGACCAGACACATATATGCATCGCTCTAAATTGCCACACCTCATTAGCACAACAAGATGAACAGCACATTCATAAAAGCAGTTACTTCAATGGTAGTAAAAAATGAAAAAAAGACTGCATATAAAGATATGACACAAGGATAAAGAATTAGATCATAGAAAGAAAGGTATAAAGTAATTTTAATCTCACATTTAGTTACTACTTGTTCATATAGGTAGATACGTTTCATACTATCACCATATTAAAAACGAAAAGAGACAAACAATTTTGCATGATCTTTTTCTATGATGTTTGAATTTTAACAACTATAATCAAAATGGATGGTACTGCTCATAATTCGACTATTTAGAAATCAAAGTTACGAAGATATTAATGACAGTTTTACATGATTAACGAATATATATTAAAAAGAAAATGTAAGTAGATTAACAATAGAAAATTTTGATCTTTAAAAGTTAAATAATTTATGGATATATATACATATTTTTTTAAGTATTTAGAGATATTGAAGAAGCAATACGTGAGAAACTTCATAAGCTCCACTCAGAAAACTTATCTAATTGATATACACTATTATCGCTCCCAAATGCCCTGGTACGGCCGAGAGTGGGGAGAGTACGCTCTCCCTCTCCAAATGCTCTCACATGGCCACGCGTATATAGCCTCTATCAGGGAAGTCCTACTCACTGCCTTCTCGTGGCGGGGTTGTTGTTCACGAAATTGAGAGGACAAAAAACGAATATCCGACGCTTTAACCGGGTTGGTGGATATGAAGGATCCACCTAGAGGATTTGGAAAACCTTGATTCCAAACCAATGGTGCATATGGGCTCCAGTATCCTCAAGGAACAAATGGCGTATGAATCAATTGTTGGTCACTGGCTACCATGGGACTGTATTTCCTTACGATGCTCCACTGCCTTGTGGATCAGATCTTTAGGTCAAAGGCTACGGGTGTGGTCCCCTAAGAAAACCACCTGCTTCGGTTTGGGCATCTGAGCAGTATCACAGCCCTCATACAAATCAAATGAGATTTGTATGGCGCATATGTATCGGGTGCTTCCTTGTACCAATATTTATGTGTTTAAATAAAATAACTTTTGTAGATGACGTTCGGTTTTCGTTCTTTTGTCATTTCGTTTGCCTAAGACTGATTGAAGTGATTTTGTTGATTTGTGTGCTACACCTATTCCAAAAGGCTACAGTAATTTCGTTGTAATTTCTTATGTCTTTAATATATGGCAGAATGATTCGTTTGTTGGCTTCTGTACTTGGTTTCGTTTCTGCTGATGCGTTGGTCTGATATTTTTCCCATGACGTTGATGGGATAGCTGTTCTTTCGTAAGATAGTCTTTAGATATTTGTTTTCAAAACTCCGCGCTGCAATTGTGTTTCATTGTGACCAAGCCCTCATGAATAAGGTTTGTATGCAGTTGATTTTGTGAGTTACTGAGTTCATAAAAATTACCAAAGCAAGAGTCAGGCAGGCGATCAATTACAGAGCACCAAAAAACCTGGCACACTAGAGAATGTAAGATTAAAAAATTAGAGGGGTCATTGAGAAAGTAAGTCAACATTTCGAAACCCTATGCGTTTCAGTCGATGCGATAATTTCAATTCCTGCGAATTTACATTCAGGTAAAAAAGAAACCCATAAACATATATATATATATATATATATATATATATATATATATATATATAATCCACAACCCAAACAGTTGAATGAACAGAAAAGGTATATCATACACTTGAAAATCATAAATACACTTCAAATAAAAAAAACTAGGACAATCAAAAGCCAATAATCAAAGTAGTTCACCTACTTGAAAAGTTGATCCAGTAATCCAGATAATCTGTTTACATTATCTTGTGGTCTATAATAATAATAATAATAATAATAATAATAATAATAATAATAATAATAATAATAATAATAAAAGAACATATTAGGAAGTAATATCAATCTGACAAACAAACTAACAAAAACTGTGAACTGGAAATAAGATATACTCAAAGCATATAAAAGACGTTAGCTATATATAACACCCCGATATACTGACTGTTATTATTATTAAACTGAAAAATTTGAAGTTTCCTAAACAATTGATTTAATTTAATACTACTTTTCAGTAGTATGTATTAAAGTTATTTCCAGTTAGCATTAACGTCAAAGTAAATTCATATGCTATAAATGTGCTTAAGCTTTTAAAGTATGAACTTCATCCAACTTGAGATGTTATGTTGTTTTTTGAGAAATTGCAATTATACACATGTAAAATGATGTGAATTTCATTTTACCCAGGTCAGAAACTGAAAAGCGTGTTCTAGTAAGGTCTATAAAGACTCATACATGAATTTCTAGATTCAGCATGAATGTTTCACTGGACATAAATATATATTTTAATAATGAGGACTAACAAACAAAACGTTAAGTTTTGTCAGCGGTTCACTTTAAAGTTCAGATATCATTGAAGGCATCAGTGGAAGGAAAGGATAGTGTAGAATACGATAACGTTTGGAAAGAAAAGTAACATCAAGACAAATAAATAGAAAAAAACTTCAATGGGTGTTTATAAGGAAAATGATGGTTGGTTGATAGAAAATTTTATTTGCAATAAGAACAATCATAACAAAGGTATAATGTTTCGGAGGAGAGAAGAAAACAAACTTTACACTTAAAAATAAATCCATCTGCACTAATCGCCCCCTACATCGTGAAGTTGTCATACAAAAGATTATTTCAATATCATTGCATAGCTTTATGTTACATTTACAAGAAAAGTTCAGTACAATAATAAATCGAAAAATGTGAAAACAATTTTCAAAATACACAAATATCAGTTATAAAATCAATCAAAACACAATATTTTTGGATATTACACTTTATTTTAATTCTCTATCAACACATTCACCTAACTTTATAGAAAATGAACGTGAAATTTCCGTGTTTCGTTTGAATTACGATGGTATCTATTTATTAAATTGATACGAGATATAATACAACTATCGCTTAACGTCATCTATAATTATTATTTTCATGTTCAACTGCGCTAGTACCAAAGATTATGTCCTTAAAATTGCAAATGTAAGAAACCATTCTAAAGCAAGTCAATAAGTGATAGAGAATTGTTATTCAATTGACTATTTACTAAGAAAACACAAAAATTCAATCCATTCATAAATCGTTATCTTGTGTTTATGTGAAATTTAATAAACTTATGTAACTCTACTCCGAATTCTGCAAAATAAAGTTATTCAGAAATGACAGCTGAATATCTGAAACAAATGTCTTAGTTAATTTAATCGACGACACTCACAAACGTAATAGGCCAATGTAGCTTGACAAGTTGGAATAAAATTTTAGCTCAAATTTCCATTATTATGATAAATTTATTTCTTTTAAAAAGAAATATTGAATAAGCTGAATACAACTTGACACATAGATCAAATACAACAATTCTTTGTATTCAAGAATGAAGATTACGAAGAGATAAACAAAATGCATATTACTTTACATTTCCCAAAATACTTAAATCATTACACGTTTGTAATAATTAGGATTCTTTAACTAGAATTCTTTATTGCTAGTTCTTAAGTGATATTTGTACGAGAAAAAACAAAATTAAACCAGTCATATACATATATATATAGAGCAGAATAGGACACATATATACACAATAAAATAGTATGGGTTTATGTAAAATAATACCAACTAAATATAAATGAATAACAAATTTGTACAATTGACCTTAATAAACCAAATGAATAAAAATATTCAACAGAAAATAGTTCCAAAATTTATCAGATATCTAAAGACATAAATAACCTATGTAATTATTTTAAAAGTTAAAGGATATGAACTCTAAAGAATTGTAAAGAGAGAATAATACACAACTATTAAACCTTTGGCTTACTTAAAATGAGGATATGTCTTTAACATTTCTTCCATAGATTGATATTCTATCAAGATAATCTTTCCAGAGTTTGGATATAAACGAACTGATGAAAATGGAAGGAAAAAAAAGGAAATTATATATATATATATATATATATATATATATATATATATATATAACTCATCAGCCGTCTTTTTAACCTTAATAACTGATAGCTTATAAATGAATAATTAGGTTATAATTATGAATATATAGATTGTTTTAGGGAGAAAAAAACCGTTTCGCGAAATATCTAGGCTCTTTTTTTATAAGGTCGTTCGTTGAAATTAAAAAAAAATAATTAGAACAGTAACTACGAATCTATAAATTTAGTATGAAAGAAGCTCAATTAAAAATGTTCTAAAAGACAGACCCATTTAAGTCAATCAATGTTACAACGGAACGATAATTGTATAATAACATCTTACCAATATATGTAAACAGATGTTTTGGAAAAATGGCGATTCAATGTCTTAAACATTCAAAAAAAAACTTCGAATCATTTAGGAGGAAACAATAAAAGATAATACAAAACAGTGATAAGTTACCTAATTCTACCACAAAATTTAAATAAACGAACAAGTTGAAGTAAAAAATTTTTATATTATATTATTAATAATTAGGAAAATTATAATTTTAGGACTCAAACTCAATGAATAAGCCGTATGCAAAGCTTTTAAAATCGAGAAACTGAATATATTTAAAAATATGATACTATTAAGTAAGAGAAAAATAAAAATGCGAAAAATTATCAAATTTTAAGTCATGTAGTATTCTGGTATTAAATCAGTCAGTCACAACGTAGAACATGGCACGAATGTACATCGCTTCAAGTCGCTACCTTTCAGGCAACTTGTACACTAAAAAACACCGCCTGTCGAGGTAGGCGGTGGTTGGGCATACGTAACACATGCCACAACCACCTCTTACTTACTTACTTACTTACAACCACCTCAGTTGATGAAAATTTATTACCTCATCTATCAATTTACTATATTTACCTAATACTCTATTCCTAACTCATACAATGCTTACTTCGTGGTCCCAAAATACACGAGCGATTCTCTGAAGACACCAATGGTCGAAAACCAGTGAGCTACAAATATCCTCTACTCTTAATGGTCATGTTTCACATCCATAAAGTAGAATGGAATGAACTGTCGTGCAGTAAATTCGTCTTTTGGTTAGAAAACGGATATCTGGCCTACGCCGTAAGTGACGCAAGCTGGCAAAAACCAACTTCCGTTCTGAATTCATGCCGAGGTTTCGTCAGACACCATGCCATCAGTCCTGATGAGACTCCCAAAATGAGTGAACCGTGCGACGTGTTAAACTATTTCACTCCATATCACAAATTTAGGTAATGACGCAAGCCAATCCTGAGGTTACATTTTACATTTGAAGGGAGAGAACTGCATTCCAAACATGTTCGCATTGTTGCTAAATGTGGTCGGGAGACTGGATTTTGTCAGCGTGTTCACCAAACAAAAGTACATCATCTACGTATTCTAAGTGAATTTCCTGGTAGAAGACCAACTTCTGAAAAGTCAAACGATGAGTGTTACCTCTGAAAGCACGTCTATATCAAAGTTAAATAAAAATGAAGAAAGTGAAAAGCCCTAACGAACACAACTTGAAGTAATGAAATCTGACGACAGTTTGCCATAAGCTCTGACTAGTCCAGAGTTGTTCGAGTAGAGAGCCTGTACAAGATTAATGTACTTCTTTGTCACGCCTTTCAGTGACAAACACTGCCATCGAACCTTACAATCGACAGAGTCGAAAGCTGCCTTAAGTTCGAGGAATACAACTATAGTCTAGCGTCAAAAAGTATGACTATACCCAAGAATCTGTCGAAGGGGGAATATTTGGTCCATACATCCACTTCCAGGTCTGAAACCAGACTGGTTTTCTCGGGTTTACTCTTTATGAGCTCAAGTTATACGTCGAAGTACTATTGAGGCTAATGTTTTAGTTAAACGGATTCCTCTGTGATTGTCACAAGAGAATTTTAGTCATTTCTTATAAACTGAGACGATTAGCGGTAGAGACCAGGTAGATGGGATCACGTCCAGTTCCTAGATTTTAGCCAGTATTTTAGTTAATCCAACTCCTAATACTGGACCATCATTCTTGAAAATCTCACGAGTAAGTCCACCAGGCCCTGATGCTCTCTATTGATCTAGATTAGTTATAGTCTTTTCAGGTTGCCACTCAGGTTGTTTGGAGATGATCTGGCATTAAATATCCCATCAGAACCACAGTCAAAGGGAAAGTCCTATCAAACAATTTCATTAAGCTAGAAGTATGAAATGCATTGTAAATTAAGAAATAACATATAGTTAGATCAAGCAGGAATATCAAGTAGTTCAAAAAAGATTGTTATGAACTAAGACTAGAAACTGAGAGGAAGAAACACTGCCAAAAATAGAAAAAAATCGAAATAAGACAACAGATGAACATCATGCGTCTATGGTAAACCTTCCTCAACTTTTTATTTTTATGACTTATCTTGCCAAGACCACATAAGAAAGGACTAAAAAGTCTGTTATCTCTATGAGCTACAGCATAAATATGATTGAGCATTCCCAGTCTACTGAGAATCATTAAGTAGTGTCTAGTAAAACACAAAAACAAATGGAAGAAATATGAAGAGAGTAAATAAAAACGTATCTTTGCGTCATTGCTGAATCCTAAATTACGAGACAAAAATCAAAATGTCAATACAATTCTTTTTATTAGTTTTATTTATTTAATTAGACACATAAGTGTTGGTACAAAGGGGTACCAAAATACATAGGCGCTATACGATTAACTGAATTTGAGCTGGGTACCATAACCGAAGGTGGTTTTCTTGGGGGACCACACCCCGAGCCTTTGACTTTGAGGTATAATCCATACAGGAGTAAGGCAACTTTAAGAGATGTGGTCTCATAGTAGCCACCAAATAAGAATACGTCCATACACCATTTGGTCCCTTAGGATCCTGGCGCCGAAGTGCACCGGTGGTTTGGAAACAGGATCTTCCAACTCCTTTTGGTGGGTCCTCCGTACTCAAAAACCCAGTTTGATCCCCAAACACTCCCTTTTCGTTCTCTTGATTTCGTAAATAACACTTCTACCATGAGGAGGCAGTGGGTAGAACTTCTCTGACAGCGGCTACTATATGCGCGTGGCCATATGAAAACATTTTAAGAGAGCTGACTCTCCCCACCCTCACCCATACAAATGCATTTGAGATATTTCCAAATAAAACTACTAAATAGTCAGTAAAACTGAAGATTAGATCAGAACCATAATAAAATATCAACAACAAATTATTACTTAATAAATTTGGATAGTGGTTAGCAGTGAAATGGAACGATGAGCATATCATACTATTTGGGACTAATCGGCTTGATATATGTATATACGTGTACATAATACCACAACCATTGTACTCACTTCTTAAAATATCTGAGTTATTCCTTATAAATGAACCTAACCAAGAAAGTTCCAATTCTTGGTTTTCAAGCATTTCACAGCCCCAATCACCTAAATACTCCGGTTTGATTTGAACACAAATAGGCTATAAAATATCACATAAAATAAATAAATAAGAATTATAGCAAACATGAGAAATAACTTAATTATAGCAACTATAAAACTTGTTATTTGCATTAAAGTAGACAAAAAAATGATAAACAAAAAGATTTATATGACGTAAATATGTTGGAAATTCACTTTGAATCAATATTGATTTTCTTTCTGATAAATTGTATCCGAGATTTCCACACCCGCAATAAAGCTACACATTCATTTTTTTAATCAGTAAGCCGTAAATGTCGGAGTGCTCAAGCTAAACCAACCCACGAAGTATCTCCAACCTTAACTGATTAAGTGCGATTGCTGAATAATACTGTAACATAAGAACATGTCATCAAAATTAATTGAACGAAGCTTTCGAAATCAATCGACTGACTAGGATTTAGATGTCTAAGTCACAAGAGTACAGTAGGTCAAAGAGCGGAAATAAGCACATGAAGTATCTTTACTTTGCGCGAGTATATGATTCGTAAATCAGACGAAACTATCTAAAAAACTGGGAACAAAACATATGTTTTTAGTAAAAAATAATATTTATAATTTAAGTGTTTGGTATGCACTGAAATTTGCTAGTCAACACTTTATCACATGCCTAAAATATTTGTTAGCAAACTTTTGTGGGTGACCAATTCCTCTCAGATATTTTCCAATCATCACATATCAGACGAAATACAGTGTAGGTTAACTAGCGAGTCAATCATCCTTTAAGTTGGTATACATGTTACTTAGCTGTCATTCATGCCTACACTTGTAAAGATTAAAACTTAACAACAACGAAGTTTATTGTAAACTCTAAAATGCGATAGACAAACCTATAAATAAAAAAATACAGACAGCAAATGAACTGTCAAAGTTACATACTGGTTCTGTTTACCATAAGTCATAATAGAACTGAGAGGAAAGAACAACAAACAATAAAACCAAACTTACGAAAATCATATTAAGAAAAAACTATGGATGATATATGCAAACCAGTAGCTCAGTGGTTGGAGATTCCAGCTTTCAGCTACTAAATCAAAGGTTCGAACCCATTTTTGATTCCTGTTTAAGAGACTGGGTAGTATCATACTGTGTGATTCAAACCAAGTATATAAATCGAAACCTGGAATGTAAGCTAATAGAAGTTAGTTGGTAGTTAGTACTTTGTACGTATTCACATTTCATTATTGTGTGTAATGAATACGAAAATTTGGAATCATTTAAATAGAGTGGAACGATTAGATATAAAAGGTTGAAGGTCAAGGGACAATCTTCATTCCATGAAAGTGGATCATCTTCCGAATGTAGTCCATTCAGTATCATATTTACACAAATAATAATGGCATAAAGAGTGGACACAGTATGAGCACAATATCATTTGTCTTCAATGGGACATTTCTTCAATTACAACTTTTAAAGTACGAATGTTTAATGCATACCTTTAAATTACTTTTTTTAGACTCATCATTAATTATGCTGTTTGTCTGATTCCGCGTGTTACATGAAGGCCAAAGTGGACATTGCCCATCAGAAGGTGATGTTTTGCAAGCTTGACAACTTTCATTGTTCGACCATATTGTATCGCAGAATTGAACTAACAAATTTTTATTTCCTAATTTCAAAGAAGAATATGAGTACGCCCTAACTGAGTTTTTATTTGATTCTAAAAGGAAGACACAAAAATCGTAGTGATAAGATAAACTAGTAAAAAATAAGACATACAATCATGAGCATGTCATATATTAAGATAGTTAATGCATAAAGAATCTCCCGAGAATATTTGTCGTCGAACTAATCAATACATCGTCAATTATTTGGAGATACACAGAGCACAACATACTTTGGCTTCAAGAGTGTTATTAATATCGAACAGTTCAATCATAGGAATGAAAACTGATTTTATTGGCTAGGTTGGTTGATTTCATAGACCCAAGGGACAACGAATTTGCTTCAGACTGACGATAATTCAATAGGGATAAGACGTGAGTTCATAGCTCTTGAATAGACCGTTCTCAGACAACCCCAATATATCACATAAATATTAATTAACACTTCTTATTGATAACTGACAGGTTCAGACAAGAATTTGGAATCTCTGTGTATTCTAAGACAGCAGTAACAATTGTGACACAAGATTATTAATTTAAAATGGAGAGGCAGAAGAATTAAATGTTTGCGCTTGTCAGTAGCGTGTAACCACATAAATAGACAAACCGAAACCTGTGTACCCAGTGTAGTAAGAAGAGATGCTAACCCAGTGCTATTCAGACAATGATTAACTTCCTGTAGTAATAGATTGATTATACTAATCAATCAGTGGAAAGCAGTCGTCATTATGTTCACTTATTGCCTTATATAGTATTCCATCTGATCCTTTTCGTTAGTTATAAAACAAAGTGGATCACGACGTCAAGTCACTTAATTCAGTGATCACACCAAAAACTCAATCGCTATAATAAGCTCTATACTTAAGGAATTAACAAAATGGTACTAAATTATCACCCAGTAAGAGTAACGCATGCATTCCGTTTGATTTAGCTTTGCGAGCAGTAGTCACCACGTCTGGTTACGGAAAAAGACGAAATTTGTCAAGATAACATAAAGAGACAACAAAAGTAATGGAAATGACTTGAAATTACCGTCACCCATCATAAAGTGCAAACATGGTTTCCGCTTATATGCCTTCACATATTCGAATCACGTGAAATCCTTCTAACACAAGCTTCCTTTTACATTTTTTTCTTTTCATTTTGAGGTTTTCAAATCATAGTAGTCAGTCAGTCAGCTACAACATAGGATCAGGCACATACACGCATCGGTCCAAGTTACCACACCTCATTAGCACAACAAGATGAACACCGAATTCACAGAAGTAGTTAATTTAATGGTGATAATATATAAAAGAAAGGTTGTATATAAGGAACTTGTACAGGAAGAAAGACAGATATGAAGCAATTTTAATCTCAAGGTTTAAGGGAAGACAGGGAGTGCATACACCTGCGTCATTGTGATCGATTCTGAGTCTCCAACCATTGGTTACGATAGTCGCGCGGACCCCAACCAAGTAGTCTGAATCTACCAACATGGTTTAGTCTAGACGTTAGTAACTTCAAGCTCATAGCAGTATCAAATAGTGATAAATTGCAATGACTCCTAATTTATAAATTTGAATAATAAAGGTTGATTTTACAAGTAGACACTAATTTGATGAGGAACATTCATGAAATCACAAACTACTCGAATAACATGAAAATTTTCATCATTACCAAAATTCGGTCTTCATTTAACCGATAGACCGAGATCTAGACATTCAAGAGAACAAGAATGATGTACGTATCAATATCAACTTCAAACAATGATATATTGGATCTATTTAAAACCTAATATAAAACTCAATCTTTTAAGCTCAGGATAATACTATGTGATGACTAGCATCATTTTTTTAATGAAAACTTTCTACTGCTCTACCAATCATCTTCAAAGACTTAAAAAGTTCCAGTTGCATTAATTATCATAGAATAAGTACAACAGAGTCTACATGCCTTTTTATGATACAAATAATTATAAAAGGGACCGAGTGAATAGTTACATGAATTAAAATAATCATTGAAGTGAAAAAGTTTAATCGCCTTATTATTTTGATCTCGAACAAATTTATCATTTTAGTTTATAAGTAATAACGAAAATGAAGGTGATATCCAGAATTCATCTCTCTTCCGCAATCAGGGAATGATAGTAGAATGCGATACACTTCATTTCAATCAGGCGGTGTCCTGATTAAATGTATTGTATCTTGGGCTGATGTATATTTGTGTTACGTTAACATTGCTTATGACTAGTTGAAACAACTATGAAAAAAAAATATAAACATGTCAATAGTAAGTTCACACAAACTGTTGTCTTAAAATGGCGAAATCCATTACTTACCTTGATTAACTTCGGTTTTATTCATTTTGTTTGATGTAGGAGAGTTGAACGTTAATCGTTTTGAAAGACATATTGTTTCCAATGATGATGAATCTTGAGATAGTTCACACATAATTTTAATAGGCTCAAGAGGAATTATGCGTGGACCTAAGAATAAGATCGAAAGTGTCAATCATTTACATAACATCAAACTAACAATAAAGATATACTTTAAACATAGTTATTAAAATATGAATAATAATTGTTGTTATAGGCTGTGATATATCCTCCTTGCAAAAATTAGACAAAATATTAGTTTTCAGAAGAATATAATTCCATAAAATAATCGACACTTCTGTTGATTCAAGTTAATTTAGCTAGGAATCCTAACCAACAGTGTTCAATATATCAACGACGAGAAAATCAATATTTCTCAGACCGATTAGTGAACTCCGCCTGTAGCTACTGCCGGTCCCAAGCCCGGAAAAAGGAGGAGGGTTGGGCATGGGGTCGGCGAACCCATCCCGTAGAAAACTAACTAGCTAAAACAACGCTAACCAGAAAAAATAATTCAAACCATTTAAATTCTGCCCTCCGAGTTGAAGGAACAATTATAACGCCTCATGATAAAAACCGAGATTCTTCGGAAGTCACGAGGTCGATGAACCTTCTAACAACCAGAGCAACAATTTTTATAGGTGCATGGAATGTCCGGACAATGTGGGAAACCTGGAGAACCTTCCAAATTGCTGCACAAATGAGGAAATACAACCTGGGGGTGCTTGGAATCAGTGAAACACATTGGACGCAGGTTGAACAACAACGACTATCTTCAGGGGAGCTTCTGTTATACTCCGGTCATGAAAAAGAAAATACCTCACATGCACAATGAGTTGCATTGATGCTGTCTAAACAAACACAAAATGCACTTATAAGATGGGAATCTCATGGACCAAAGATCATCAAAGCCTCCTTCAAAACAAAGAAAGAGGGCATTACAATGAACATCATCCAATGCTCTGTGCCTACCAACGACTACAATGAAGACATTAAAGGTTAATTCTACAATAGACTGCAGTCAATCGTCGAGAAGTGCCCAACAAAGGACCTGATCATTCTGATTGGAGACTTAAATGCCAAGGTCGGAATGGACAACACTAGATACAGAAACTTGGAGAACTACGAAATCCAACATCCAGAAGATACAGGTGTTTATTAACAGTTGTCTACACAAAATACTTCCGATCCGTTGGCCAGACACTAACAGCAACAACCTATTGTAGGAGAGAACAAACCAGATTCCATCCAGTGGAGGAAGAAATCAGGAAGAAGCGCTGGAAGTGGATAGGACATACTTTGAGGAAAGCACCTAACTGCATCACAAGACAAGCCCTCACATGGAATCCTGAAGGCCAAAGGAAAAGATGAAGACCATGGAAACAGACACGAGAAGAATGAACAAAAGTTGGATAGAATTAGAAAGGAAGGCCCAGGACAGAGTGGGTTGGAGAATGCTGGTCGGCGGCCTAAGCTCCATTGGAAGCAACAGGCGTTAGTTAGTAATTAGTGGTTTGAAATACAAAAATATTGTTTTATAACTCAACTAACCACAATAATTTCATTTTAACTATCTGTCATCATAAATCTAAGTAACTGGATAGATAAAGTACAGTTTTTAACCACCTACGCTAGTACACTTAAGTGCTTCATAAACTAGTTTACTTCAAATTTATCTAGTTTTACTCAATAGTATGAGGTAATGTGAAGGCCCCCAAATGCCCTGGTAAGGCCGAGAGTGGAGAGAGTCCGCTCTCCCTCTCCAAATGCTCTCACATGGCCACGCGAATATATAGCCTCTGCCAGGGAAGTCCTACTCACTGCCTTCTCGTGGCGGGGGTGTTGTTTACGAAAGTTAGAAGACAAAAAGCGAATGTCCGACGCTTTAACCGGGTTAGTGGACACGGCGCATCCACCTAGGGGAGTTGGAAAACCCTGATTTCAAACCAATGGTGCACATGGGATCCAGTATCCTAAGGGAACAAATGGCGTATGAATCAATCACTGATCACCAGCTACCATGAGACTGCATCTCCTCACGATGCTCCACTGCCTTGTGGACTAGACCTTCAGGTCAAAGGCTCCGGGTGTGGCCCCCTAAGAAAACCACTTGCTTTAGTCTGGGCACCTGGGTAGTATCACAGCCCTCAAACAAATCAAATGAGATTTGTATGGCGCATATGTATCTGGTGCTTCCTTGTACCAATATTTATGTGTTTAAATAAATAAAATAAAAATGTAATGTGAAGCATAAAAGTTAGAATCCCACTACTAGATTTTTTCCTATCAGTTCAAAATTAATTTATTATTTAACTTATCCGATTATAGCAACTAGTTACAGTATTGTACCAACTGGATGGTTATTATAAAAAATTAACTTTTGTAGTGGCTATAATGGCATCACTATGACTGTATTACTGTTTTACTCAACACTGATAGATAAGTGAAGAATCTATAACGCGAAATTTTCTTTTATTTGATTCAATAGCCATAATTTCACTATCCTATTACTACAAACAATCCAAGCTAAAAATGGTAGTGTTGTTTGAAGTTTAAAACAATTGCCTAAAAATATAATGATAACAGTTATTAATGGGCATTAATTAACTAAAGAAAAAACATTCATATTAAGTCATACAACAAAGAGAATCCCTTTCCAATAATTTATATTTGGTAAAAGTATATTATAAAGCTGGTCGGCGGCCTATGCTCCATTGGGAGTAACAGGCGTAAGTAAGTAAAGTAAGTATGTAAAAGTATATTATGCTGATGACCTTGGGCGACTTATCAGACAATCAGGAAGCGCCGCCTTGTTGTAAAATAATCAACAGTACAAATTAATGAAATAACACCTTTGATCTGAATAATTAACTCTCATACACCCACCCAAATGTACCTTGTCGTAGAGGAAAAAGGTCGAATTTACATATAAGAAGTCAAGCTAGTGTTGTGAGTCCGGGTTAGAATCCCGTAGAGGTTTTATCAACAGCTGACATCAGTCATGATACAAAACGCCTAAGGTTCGGTAATAAGAGTTAAAATGGAGTTTTGTATTAGGTTTAAAAATTAGGATTGGGGTTTTCATCACAAACTGATATAAGCTATGGTGCCATCCTTCTGTTTACAAACTTGAGAAACCTAAAGTGGAGATTTAGAGCAAGAATAAGAAAGAGAGGATTTTTACCTTCACTAAACCCTTGAATACGCAATGAATCACATTAAGTACTTTAACAAACAAAACGAATCAAAATTAGGAACGAAAAATTTAATTAAATCACCAGTGATAGAATAGCGTGGTTAAATTACGTACTAGACATTACGGAACATTAGGAATGTACTGTAGGAGAGAGTCAAACTAAAGCATTTTCGTGCTGAAAGTTTATATGCGATTTCTTAAAAAGTAATTGTACCAAGGGTGTCAAGATATACAACTGTAACAGTGAACTCATTCCTAATGCGACCGTGATAAAATTAATGAGTAAATGTGTCATATGAACATGTTAAGGTTATGAGTGATGGGCGATTAAACAATGTAAAGATTACCTCTACATTTATATGGTAAAAATTCATTTTGAAGATAACTTCAGTCCTGTATTTTTTTAATTACTAGGTTACTTTATGTAAATATTTATATAGTCAAGTGCTTCTGAACAAAGATCTGGTTAAACTAATGAGCTGTTAATATTCCCCCTTCATTATCAGACTAATAAAGCTGATCGGTGTTTGAAAACTCACTTGTAAATTTTATGTTGTGAATACAACCGAAAAGCTTCGATTTATTAGAAGAAAACTATTACAGACAATTTACAAAAAAAATCGAAAAATATTATTCCTTCTTCTTCACACATTATTAAAGAAACAGTCTCCAGGAGAATTAAATTCTCAAAGTTTAACTAAAAACTGTGTGGATGTCAAAGATATTGATATGTGATTTTTAAAGATCAATTAAAATATCAACCGTGAACTCTAAATCCAGGTGATAAATTTCTTTAAAAGTAACAGCTAAGAGTTCGAGATGTTATTTAGTTTCATTTAATTTCTGCTGAATACATATACTATTGAAAACTGTTGAAAGAAAATGTTATAAACTGTTTTACGATACTAATTACTCATAGAAATTGTCCATCACACGATTATGATACATGTAAATATCAATTTTTTCAGTCCAATTATTCAAAGTAAAATAATTACTAAGAAAGTTTGAACAATAACAGGAAAATAACGTTAAATATATATAAAACTTACTAGGAGAATGAACGATAGACTTTGATTCTATAATTTGATTAAAACATGGACTTTTAGGTGTCTCATCAGCAGGTGAATCTGGTGTACTAGAGAAGTTGATAACAGAAAGGCTATTTGTATTTTCTTGTTGTTTATTAGTAGATCTTTCAACAACTGTACAAAAGTTAGCTACATTTCCAGGATTGCAAATTGATGAACTAGACTGTTTATAACTGAAAGAACATAATAAAATTAGACAATAATAATTACTTGATAAATGAGCCAAAATACGAATTATAAGACATAAAAAGCATAAGGTATATCTGACTTCATGTTTTTGTGGAATATACAAAACATAATGAATGAATAAGGATAATGTTTTTGAATTACAAGTGTATAGTCAATAAATTCATTACACTTTCAAACATCAAAATAAAATCTAAACTTTTGATAATAACCACTATTATTTTGCTTTTATGAATACCAAATTCTTCCCCTCTAACCTTTTATTCTTCATGAAACTACACTGACTATATATATATATTTGCAAAACAACAGTAGTACGTTTCATTTCATAGGATTTACAAGGTTCAAATATAATATGGCATAATGAACCAGATTTACCAGTCAAATATCAGTTTACAGAATTTTGAAGGCAGTGTAGAAGAAATATGAACCAAAACATAGAAATTGTACTGCTGAAAGTGTGGTAAATAGAAAACAAAAACTGGAATCAAACCCCAAAATATTTACGCTGAAAGCATATTTGTATTAAATTGAAAAATGTTATTATCAAGCACAGTGGGGGGTGAAACTACGGTATAACGTTTTCATTATCCTGATACATAAGCAGTATCAGTAAAAATCAGATAAAATGAAGTAGTAGAAAAGTGTAACAAGATGTGTTACTTAATAGTAGCCAGTAGTATGATTAGGACGGATTAAAAAATAAAAACAGGCTACCGACAGACCACAAGAGAAAAAGACTCTCAATCATGGATATATATTACATATGTGTCCTACCTATGATCATTACTGTCCCGTTCATCCAAATCAATTCTTAATTCATCATCAGTATCACTTAACGCCTCTGTGTGATCCAATTTATTGACGGATAAACCATATTCCTGAGCTTTAGTGCATGATCGAAGAGTACGTGGACTAGATATATTAATCTTTTCCATAACTTTATTTGTAGTGAGAGCACACTTTAACCGCTCCTAAAAGGCAAAACATGGAGAAAGGAGTGATCAATGCGGCTTCAGTGTTACATATAGGTAAGTCTTTAGCGAAATAAAAACACAATCTTGGCATTTATTTATTTAAATAACAAGAGACCTAATGTATCATTAAAGAATAAAGGGAACTCGGTGGAAAAAATCTTTTCGACGGTTTCACTTACTCAAGTTGTACAATCGCATCTGTGGTTAATTTTATCAATTAAAAATAGTATAATATGATTTTGAGTAATAAATAAAAAACTTGATGATATATCATGACCCACTGAATTGACTACAATTTGATCTAACGAAAATGTTAACGAAATAAACATCTCGGCTACCCTCGTATATAATTATCAACTTAGTTCACGTCAGAGAATGACAGAATAAAATAAGTCAAATAACAGGATGAATTTTGGACACGTATATTCTAGGAATTCGTCAATCCAGACAGACAATCAGAGAAACGAAATCGATAAGCAGACTGGAAAGGGCAAGCTTGCCAACTCATTTTGATGAAGCGGAACTCAATATTTACAAAGAAAAAAGTGATCTACAGACATGTGATGAATAGGATAAGCAACACAAGTACATATGCTCACGTAAAAACATTCAATGTTAATAAGCGAATAAGTGACATAGTGAAAATGTGACCCAAGAAGAATAAGTTGGTCTATCATATAGCTAGAATAACCCATGCGGGCTTGACATAGTAATAAACATTACAGTATCTTGTCGTGAATGGTTTACGGGAATCAGTAACTGAAAGGAAGCTATGTAATAATTAGCTGGTGAAAAATGTCAAGATGAAGGTAAGGGTCCACTTGATAGCTATTAAGAGCAGAATGATGAAAAGTTGTAATAATGGTTAGTTGATAGTTGTGGGAATAATTGGAAAGAAGTAGAAATAAAAACATGAAAGATTATCGAAAGGAAGGTTAAGACCCTGAAGGAATGAGGGACTAAACATACTGTTTTTGTACTCAAAGAATAGGCTTGAAGTAGTGAATAGCAATAGCATGTGCTAAACTTAAGTTTTTCATAAACTTTCCCCTTGATTCGACTCTTTTGATTGTGTATGATGTTGAGGGAGGCTTTCAGTGAAGTGGACTGACCAGAATTAACTAGATACTCCAAGAATGAGCTTTTGAATGACTTTTTTAATCCCTTAAAAAGCCAGGGGGGGTAATACTTGGAGACGCGTTTATAATGATGACGAAAAACCAACAGCTGGAAAATAAAAACACTTACGCATAAAATTCATATCCGTTGAATAAAGTAGCGATTATCTGGACTGAGTAGCTAAGTAAATAACACATTAGGCTATTGAACCTAAAGATACTAAGTTAGAATTCAGGTGTAAACATCAACATGTATGAAAATAAAGCCTACTGAAGAAACACGCGTCCAGGACTCTACTGCTGGCTACTTTTTTAAACACCTGCAAATTAATGGTAATATTGAGGCAATCAACTCAATTACATATGCTAAATGGAACTGATCAATTGAAGTCACTAACAAAGACAACAGGGAAGTACAAACCCTTACAAATCAGTTAATTATATCTGTACAAAGAAAATCCACAACGGCTTGTTTTGCAGTTCATTTAAACATTTTCTCCTGCCTTAATTTTGCTGAATATCTCTTGTAAATCCTACTACGATGTATTGTCTGATTGACTATTTGTTTATCAGTCTAAGTTATACGTTTCTCTAAATGACAACATATCATAGACATGATACTACTGCAAGTTTATTAGAACTATGACTTCATGAACTGGTCTCTTACATTCTAACTAATGGAAGTAAAATAACTTGATGATTAATGCACTCCACTATCAGTTAGTGGATTTCAAGTTCAAATAATATTCTTTCGAATGCGGTTCAATGAGTCACGTTTATCATAAACCTTCATTACAAAAGTGTACTTCAGAATCATGTGTCATATTTTATAATTGAATTGTAAATCAATGGATTATGAGCTTAAAACCGAATTTATTTACTGTAGTTTGAACTAGAAACCAAAGCGACAAATGTGATAATTATCATTTAAAATAAAAACTAATCGTAATAACCGGGAATTAAACTAACAAAAATATTTACTTGATCACCCGAGTTGTGTTCAAAACATAGTTGTTTTACTAAAGATTCATAAAACAAACGAGCGCGAACTCTTGGAGGAAATGGACTTGTTAATATGATATTTCCAAACTGGATAGTCTTTCGACTGAAAGATGCATCTGTGTTGAAACAATAAAACAGATGGATTTTGGACAATTTTATAGTTTAAAGTGTTCTATAATTAGACATCACAATATTTTTGAAACCAGATATACCTACACTAGGCCAAATTAGCTATCATTGGTTGGTAAGATGTTACATAATTTTATAAGCTAACTATTACCCTAATGGTCCTGGACAGACGGTTGGTTGAACATTTATGAGATGTATATCTGTACAAGCTTTCATCAGTGTTTAATGGTAGCAAAATGTTTGAATCACCCACTCAGTGTTTTTAATTACTCGTTCAGACAAATGAATTGATAAAAATAGTGTAGGTGCATTCACTCTTGGGTTTCCCTTAGATCTTCAGTTTCAAAATTGCCTTCGTTAAGTTTCTTATCCTACCCAGTTTCCCTTGTTTCTTAGTATTCGTTGAACACGTTACCTCATACGACTAGTCCTTAGGATAAGAACAGGGCTTAGACAAGAAAGTAATTACGTTCCCAAATAAACCATGTTAAATGGAAGTGAATTACAATAAGAAAGACGTTAGTACATAAATAATTTTACACAAGATTCTAGAGTCTTCTCCATTTATCAGTGAGGGCTGACTGACTAAAGATAAGTCAATCAGCATGCTCTAACAAAATTCTGCACGAAAGGTGCTGTAATCCAATCTATGTCCTGTGAACAGCCTTACACCTTTTATTCCGTCAATCTATTCCCCTTTATTGAATCATATTCTCTCTGCCTAATATTTTTATTAGAATCGATACCACTCATACTACTTTGGTATTTGGTCTGGAAGCTTCATCTCGCTGTGAGAAGTTAGATGGACGCATGTATATGCCAGGTTCTACCTTACTTATGACTGAATCAGTGATTAGCCAAGTTCTAATCGGAATGGAAATATTCATCATCTAATAATAGAACACGAACCTGTATAAGTCAATAACCATGAAATACAGTCAAGAGTTTGGTAACATGTAGAAGAAATGACACACACAAAAACTCGCGTTCTAGTAACAAAAATAATAACCAAGGAAAATAGAAAAATTACCATACTTCATAATTTTCAACTTCAAAGAAGAGAGAAAGAAAAAGTTAGTCATAAATGCGTATACTTCTAATCATACTAAATATTTGTATTTGAATGGACCACTCAAATCAGAGAACTCAACAAAATTATTCTCCAAAGCTACAAATGTTTTTGATCACTACGATATTTATATTCAAATTAAATGAAGAATCAAATTAATAGAAATGAAAATCAGAATAAAGGTGGTTTGAAAAATACACAAACTCGAAATAAACCTGCAAGCATGTTTTCTTCCTACATGATAAATGATCGAAATTTTAGCACGATTTGAGAGTTTTCAAATAAAAGTCTAGAAATAAATTCTCCAACCACTGACCATGGTTACTGCACGGACTCCAATCAGGTAGTCTGCATTTACCAAAATGGTTCAAACCGACAACTAATGACTACAGAGACCAATGTCACGTCCTGGCTTAGCTCCCCTAGCTTTCTTCCAACCCACTTTAACATCTACAAACATCGGCTATCGAGGTAGATGGTGGTTAGGTATAAGTAACGGAAAATTATACTACTTCGACGTGCTTCATTTTTCATAATTTGGGATTAGTTTTGTGTTCTTCTAGAGTGAAATTAGAATGGCTCTCCAATCCTGAGATAAATGCGATCTACCCATCCCTATGAAGTTGGAAAGAAAGATCATTCGTATACATGAAGTCGTACACAGATTAAAGCAGACCAGAATAAAGTAGACTGATTTTGAAGCATTTTAAATAGATAGGTGATAAGTGTTTGAATGGTCACGTAATTATGATAAAAGTAGGTGGAGAAAACTGTTCTTTTCAAAAAAATATTTATTCCTTATGAAGACAAAAAAGGATGAAAAATGCACTTTACATTACCTGTATTTTTGACAGTCACATCAAATGGTACATAAACACCGACAAGTGCTTTCAAAAGAAATAAACAATTCAGTACATTCTCAGTTAACAACACCAAATATTCAACTGAATGATGAATTTGTTTGTACACTGAAGTAGGAAATGGTAGCATCTGTTTTGATTAAGAAAAATACGAACAACTGAATATATTTTATAATGGAATATATTTTAATTGCATACTAAGACAGAAAAATGACAGAATGCTTCGAAAAGTAAAACTGCTCTAAGCAATAAGCATTGGTAGTTAATAAGCAGAAAGTTATGGATTTAGGTTTTTACTCTAGATAATCATCAGTAACATATATCTGCAAATATGGAATACAAACTAACACTTACCGGAACTCAAATCAGTCTAGTAAAGCGAGTCAATCGAACACTACAGTTATCAGTCTTCATCACTTACAGACAATTTAACCGATCAATAAAGCTCCTTGTTTTCAGCTGACCAATAATCTGCTTATGTATAGATCAGTACCATCGTTAGAAAAGGACACGTTTTCATCACAACTTAAACAAGTCAGGTAACACAATAATGCTACAGTTAAGGAAGTTCCAACCACCCTTTATGCAGAAAGTAAAAGAAGGTTACAGCAGGATCGCCACTGGCTTCTATTCAGAGCCATATTTGACAACGTTTCAAGCCACTGTGTAACACCATCTCTTCGACCCCAGCCAGGGAGTCGTAAAGGACAAACCAAAGCTAGCCCTTTGGAGCTTGCTTTCATACCACGACACCATGTCATACACTGACCACCTCTCCGCTTTCTCCAACCAGTCCCAGCGTCGGCAAATAATGCACGACGTGGAATTATCTGGGACGACATTCGTAGAACGTGTCCAAGCCACCGAAGTCAGTGTTTCAAGATGGTGACACCAATTGGGTTGTCGTCTCTGCACCTGAACACATGATGCCGAATCTCTGCATTACTAACATGGTGTTGCTACTAGATGTCAGCAATCCTTCGGAGACAACGATGATCGAACACAGAGAGATGTCTAACATCCTCAACAGGTTTCACAAGCATAGATCAAAACTGCTCTCACCAATGCGTTGTAGATCCGACCTTTTACAGCCAGACTAACATCACAAAGGCGTCAAAGATGGCCCAGATTGGCATAAGCCGCTCTGGCTTTCACTATACGTGCATCGATCTCATCACTCACGCCGCCACCAGAACTTATGTAGCTACCTAGATACACAGACTTGTCAACTACTTTAATCTGCTCACCACCCAAGGTGAGTACAGGAATAGAATCCTGCCAGTCTTGTAAGAGTACTTTGTACTTTGAAGGTGCAAAGCACATACCGTACTTGTGGACACTGATTGCCAACTGCAGTGACGTATCAGTAGACTCAGATTCAAAGATTGAAGCCTGCATTTGACGTCAAACAGAAACATTGCGAATTGGAGAAATCGTCGTAGTTAAATTAATAAGTGAAATATTAAGGGTCATTTTAACCTTAAATAATAGGTCACACTGTAAACACAGAAACGGTTAAGTACCTGCAAATATTCTCTTGGTATCATCAAATTTATCTGTCTATTTATTTAATGCACATAACGTAATCCCTCATATGTTAGGGTTTCTTGCTGATCTCAGCCCCATCAAGAGAATAACTAGTTACCGATTAGGGACCGTGAGACAATTCGACTGACACTACAGGAGCAACAAACTAGTTAAACTCCATCTTGATGTTTTGTTTCCAGCGTTTGGAGGTAGTTTATTGGCATGCCGTCAAATTCACAAATTGTTTCACTGATCCCGGTGATTTAAATGAGGTGAGACAGTATCCAGCAGTTGACAAACATAGTTGCTATATCCATCTCGTTAGCACATTCCAATGACCAGGTTTCTAGGTCCTAATTTAAGTTTTGTCAAATTTTGAATAGAGCAAGAACGAAGAATTGAACAGAATAACACAAATCCTGTTTGTTCCGTTAGGTTCGCATCAGCTGCTTACAACATGTAATATTTAAAATAAAAAATATTGGAAAGTTTACATACTTATAACAGTAAAAGTGGATATGCATCATCATGGTGGGGTGGTGAGTGAAGGAATAGTGAGTTTTATAAATAAACATGTGTGAAAGAAGATCCTGGAACATCAGATATAGTGACAAAAGATAATAGGGATAAAATAGTTGGTTATATAATGAAGTAGTTGGATATAAATTAATAACAAGAATGACATGAATTGAGATCAGTCAGTTAAAAAATAAGTAAGGTTATGACTTCGAAAGTAATGTGATTAAAACAGAAGGGAGAGAATAAAATTGCAAAAGTTATGTAATAAACTGACGAAACAGTCACCATGGTAACGAAAGATTTGCAACTATTTCTTTTTGGATACATAAGTCCGGTTTTAGTCGTTCGACGGCCAAGGCCTCAGCGAATTCAGTGAGAACGGAATCCGACTGTCGATTAATAGTGCTGAAAGATTTCAGCTACTGTCTTTCTGGGCGTCTACTCAAAACACTCAGTAGCATACAAACAAGAGTACAGAAATGATGTCGGAAATTCCCGAAGTTATTAAAAGACTTACCTTTTCAAAATAATAAGTCGCATCGATTTGTTTATTCACAGAGAACATTTCAATTGAAGGTACCTTATAAATAAAGTACTATTTAGGGATTACAATACGAAATTAAAATATTTAAAACTCACATTTCGTTGAAGAAACTCAATAAACGTAAATGTTACTGTACTGAAGTTTGTAACACTTTTAGTAGTGCCACTCAATTTGTAAGAGCTAGGTAGTGTATTTATATAAAAAGTCTGTTCTTTTCCTTGTAATTCCATCAGTTGTTTTTCATTTGTTAATGGTAAACCATTGTGTGAACAAGGATTGGCTAACTCCAACTGTCTTTGAACTGAAATTTGAGCCTGCAAAATAAGTGAATGCAATTTCTTCACAAATAAATGCACATAATTTTTTACATATGTACATACTTGAAGTCTATTCATTTCTCTTTTCTTTGAGTGACTAGATTTATTACCATCTACTGAGCTTATTTTTAATAGCTCTTTAAAAAGTTTAACATCAGTGGCTGTGATACTATATTCTGGTTTGATAAAACTATACGCTTCTAATTAATGTAAGGAAGCTTACCATGTACATATGAGATCAATATCAGGCATACAAACATCAGATTCAAAATCCGGACGGGATGGTTTTGCAATACTTCTCAAGTCTGTAAAATATTCAAACACCTCTCTCTGGACTTCTAAAAGGTTGGAGTATGGAACGAGATCCCATCCAGTGGAAAGAACCATCGTACAAGGTTAACAATAACACGAGTACCTAAATAAAAATGAAAATTAGAAGGGAAACGCAAAAGTGGTATTATTGCCCTAAGAATTAAATTGGACATGTTAATTTCCCTGGTCATACGAACCTTTAACCATATTACGTAATTAGCATCACGAGAATGTTTTACTTGGTAAACTACATTAGAATGACTTCAAGACGTGGGATGTTAGGTGAAGCATTCTAAAACGATGCAACGATCATGACAGTCAGTCAGTCAGTCACAACGTAGAACTTCGTACGTACGTACATCAGTTCGAGTTGCCATACCACATTAGCACAGAGATGCAATTGTTCATTCAAATTCCATAGTGGTAAAGGTAGTGAGAGTATAATCAGAAATCCAAAAGATTAGGGCTTGAAGAATAAAATGAAATAAATTTGGAAAGAGAAAAAGATAGAGGCATGAAGAATTCAGAAGATTAGAATTTGGGAGAACACAAAGAGTGGACGCACCACCACCATTGCAAACGGTTATGAGCCATGTCATTCAAGGTCTCTAACCATCGGTTGTTATCATCTCGCGAATCCCAACCAGGTAGTCTACACCTACCAACATGGCTCAGTCCAATTGTCAGTGACTTCATTGATTTGTGCCACGTTTTGGTCTGGCCGCCCCTAGCTTTCTTCCAACTTCTTCATTTTATTCTTCGAGCCCTAATCTTTTGGATTTCTGATTATACTCTCACTACCTTTACCACTATGGAATTTGAATGAACAACTGCATCTCTGTACTAATGTGGTATGGCAACTCGAACTGATGTACGTACGTACGAAGTTCTACGTTGTGACTGACTGACTGAAACTCGTCCATTGGTTGCCAGACGGACATCTCACCTACGCCATAAATGACGCAAGTTGGCGAAAGCTAGACGAGCCTTCTGTATCCGTTCTGAGACTTCGTCACACACCAGACCACAAGGGCTGATGAGACTCCCAAGATAAGTGAAGCGGTCAACACGCCCAACTACTTCACTCCCTATCATTAGTTCAGGTGTCGCTGCAACCCAATCCTAAAGTAACAATTTGCCCTTCGAGGAAGAGAATCGCATTCCGAACATGCCTGCATAGTTGCTTATAGTGGTCAGAAGACTGCATGTTGCCAGCGTCCTCACCAAGTAAAACTCTGTCATTGGCGTATTCTAAGTCAATAAGTGAGCCTCCCGGTAAAAGTTCAACTCCTGGAGGTTTAGCTGATGAACGTGTTACCTCTAAAAGCATGTCAATGACAAAGTTAAACAAGAATGGGGAGAGTAGACAGCCCTGACGAACACCACTTGAGGTAATCAATTCTGATGACAGTTCGCCATAGGCTCTAACTCGACCAGTCGTGTTCGAGTAGAGAGCCTTTATGAGGTTAATGTACTTCTTTGGTACTCCTTTCAGTGACAAACACCGCTATAGAAACTCACGATCAACGGGGTCAAATGACACCCTAAGGCCGAGAAATACTACTATTGTGGGACGTCTGAATTTGTGTCTATGTTCTAGGACCTGACGTAGGGTGAATATCTGGTCTATGCAACCACGTCCAGGTCGAAAACCAGCCTGGTTTTCTCTAGTCTGCTCTTCACGATCTTTGGTTAGGCGACCTAGTATTATTGAAGCTAATATTTTAGACACCATATTAGTCAAACTAATCCCTCTGTGATTGCCACAGGAGGACTTTTGTCCTTTCTTATAGATTGGCACAATCAGTGATTGGGACCAGTCAGATGGAATTACACCCATTTCCCAAATTCTACCTAAGACCTCAGTCAATCTCGATCGCGACAACTGTAGGATTTATATATGAACTTATTACAGTTTGCGTATATGTGAATTATGTATATTGAATAGCACATTTTAACGACTAATGAATCCTCATAAACGTCAACCTTAGGTTAAGATGTTCCACATATCGTGTAGTGGTGAGAATCACTGTGACCAATTTGCACTACAGCACTTGTTGGTACTTACTTCCAAAAGCCATCGAATCATCCAATAAATAAAGACGTCTAAATAGGCCTGTAACCATGTCTTATCATCCCTTTTTCGTACAGTCCTTCGTATTTTAATACTATTTAAGAGTAATAAAACGGACCACAGTATATCATCCACATAAATTAGGGATAGAATATGGGCAAAAATTGTCTACAGATCTCTATGCAATTAGATTACCATCCGCTCTCTCTCTCCTCGCTTTCTGGTGACGAAGATTTTCAAATCTCTCACTGATTTACTGAAGGTTAAGACTTCGGAGTTTAGGTAAATAATTACTCTAAAACCACATATGACAAAGGCTAAGGTGTTTTTAAAAAAAATGAAATGACTTTCATATTTACAGTGAAGTAATTTTACTTCTGTGAATTCATAACATCAAAAGCTTAACTGGTAAACTGTAGCTTCAATTATTTCGACCAGACACGTCCACGACTTTAAAAAAATTAGGATAATTAATCGCAACATATTGACGTATAATTTAGTTAGGTCAAGTCATAAAACTAATGATAATAGGTAAGAGGATAGGTAAAGCTGTTGACCTCCGATCAGGTAGACTCCTTAGCGTGATCTTAGGGTCTAAGGAACAAAGAAATCTCCAGTTAATTTACGCTAGGAAGTAGGGTTATACTGACATTTGTATAAAACCTGATATAACGTTGGTAAACAATGAAAGGAAGACGGTTCTAGTTGAACTAGAGGCTTAGAGACAAAACAGTGAGGATAGCCTCTGACTGGAGGGTAGTCGTGTCTCTCACAGAGCTCCAGAAATATTAAGTTTCACAATCCAGCAAATGATAACAGATGTCGCGAAGACAGCAAGGCTATTAGTTGTGAACTTGCTTGAGAAGGTTGACCATTTGTATTAGATATCATCTATCTACGCTCGATTTAGTAGGTTTGCAGCATCTCCTATCATGCCTCTAGGAAGTATACTTTTTCTTCAGCCATTAAATTTGTTATTTTAACTTTGTCAGGAGTTTTATAACTTTCCCACGTACTTTGTCATCTGTGACTGTCAATTATGCTATGTATGTCTTTATATTTATCATCTAAACTTTCATTGGTTTTCCTTAATTTATACATAATTCATTTTATATAAAGACTGAATCACCACGTCCGCCACCCCAATTCACTTTTGCTTCTTGTCATTGGTTTGAACTACTGAATATCTGGAATATACGTGCCTCCAACACTTTTGTTACTTAACTATGTGTGTTATGTGTGTTATTGACAGGGTTTATCGACAGAATGTATACGTAGTAAATGGGGTTTGCATCTCATGTGCATCATCAATTCGATCATAGTGGAGTTAGAAAATGGATACAATATGTTGATTTCGTTTTAGAATACATTAGGATAAAGATAAAATGTAACCGGTGCCTTGTGCTAGGAGATTACAATGATCCCGATATAAATTTGAAAGATCTATCCACCGCTGCATCTGATAAAATATACGACAGTAGACTAGTGATTGTAGTGAAGCATGCTCTAGAACAGCATGTATTCAGTCCTACATGTCCTGGTCTAAGCCAAGGATCTTCATCAAACTTATTACTCAAACTTAAAACTAAGGACATCCCCTTTCTAGATTTTCTTACATAGCTAGCTAATAGTGACCATGAGATTTTGTTACTCAGGCTGAGCTTGTAACAGTTTACGATTAGGTAGCCCCCACAAGAGTATGGTGAATGCACATTTATGCCATAGGAGTGTGTTGCAGAAGCTGACTGATCAGTTAGCAGGAGTTTGTCAGTTGAAAAGCCTAGTTTATCTTTAAACGTACACCTAGTTCCACTACTTTGCAGAAAAACTGTCAATACTGTTTGATGTCTCCGGAGCCGTCACGACCACCAAGAGGCTGGAAAGACAGAAAACGAGGGAAAACGTTCGGTTAATAACTCTCTCCTTGTTGGCCTAGCTAATACTGTGGTCAGGTTAACTAAAATTATTTGTGCTCTTATTCTACACAAAATGGAGAGGAACAATCCTTAAACTATGGAACATTAATTAGGATAAGACTGTTCATGTTTGATTGGCCTCACTGCAAAAGGAGATTGAACTTCATAGAAAAATAGGGATATTCACTCAGATATAATCTTTCGCTACAGTCCCATACTGTTTTAGATTAAAACTGAAAAACTTAGGAATTAACTGTGCAGTAGGAGATTAAGTGAATAACTTTATCAGCGAAAGGAAGCAACGAGGGAGAGTAAACATCACCTTATCACTAAGGGGTAAGTGTAACGAGTAGTTCCTGAAAAAACAATTCCAGGTCTTATTCTTTCTTATTTAGTGACAATCCCAAAAATTTTACCAAACCTTGGGGAAAACTGCCAACTTTCTTACGACTTTTGGGAAAAACCCCAAAATTTACCCAAACTAGAAAGATTGAGAGCATGGCAATCTGAACCAGTCACTGTAACAATTTACATACTCAAATAACAGATCGAATAAAAATACTTAAAGTTAATGATTTCAATGATTTGGTGGTCATTGCGATGATCTTACAACTACATAATCAAATTCCAAAAGTTCCTCGCACTGAGTTGTCAACCATCGAAATTTTCCGCCAACGTATTTATTAACAGCACCTCCTACTGATAAATCCTAAGAAAGACAGCGGTTTAACAAGACCACATATCGCGGATCCGCGATCTCTTGACCAATCGTCGAGATGAGACGTACTTTGAGGGATGCCAAAGTTACCTTGAGAATGTCCTTTTACTTACTATGGTGTGAGAAATTAGGGTCAGAATTAAGAGCCAGGAACTGGTGTAATGAATTAGTTTTAGGGTTTTCATCATGGACTGATGTCAGTTATAATGCTCAGTCATAATGGAAGAAAAACTAAAACATAACAGCAGTCATATTTCCAATCGATTCTGTATTAGGATTTATTCCCAAATATCTACAACTGAGCGACTAAATAAACGGAAACGTGATCATAATTACTGATTGCGATACACTTCGGTGAGTTGACGACATGTAGTTTATTTTCAGTCCATTAAATATAGTCTTAAACAAAGTATTCGACCATCGAAATGAAAACATCTGATCTACGTGTGAAGCACGCGATAGCGAAAAGTGAGTAATATGTCTATGATAAACATGATTGTTGATAAGTAACCATTAATTGCTTTCGTAGGTGAATTAAAACACAGTTGTACGACCAGTGAAATATCACTGGTGTCCAGTCAACTGACTGAAAATCGAACATTCCACCGGCCCTTGTCAAGTTCAAGGACGAGCACATCATGAACTGGTCAATATGGAAGTGGTCGCACTGTTTCGTGTGCCTTTTCTAATTAATACATCTCCATGATATCATTATATTCGTTCTACATGGTCATCAAAATTGCCTTCATTTATGGATATGACGAAAGATGATTCACGTTGTTTTTATTGATAGCGAGGTGTGAAATCAACATAAGCTATTTGGACATCCCATTTCCGTCTATTTCTTCAGTCATTGACACAGAACACCTACGTGGTGATCTACATAGTCGTTTGTGTTGTACGGTCATCAAAGCAGTCTTAGTACCTGGATACGTTGAAAGGGTAATCCAGGCTAGGTACTAACGCCAAGGTTTGACCTTGACGTTAGCTGGTTGGTCAAACCATCCCCATTTGACTAGAGTAGGTCTCAAATCACCCAATACAGATAATATATGTTAGTGATCTAGGTATGTGCAACTCGTGGGCTTGCTAGGTTGTTGTCTAAACTTCACTTTTGTTTTTCTATCTACCACTTTACCCACCCGCGATGCCTTTCACCCTTAAATGCCTCCAAGCTAGTTGCGAACGCTAACAAGGATAACCATTATTTTTTGATGTCTAGTAAAAATAATGACCATAATATCCAGTCTAACTTGTAACCATATAGCATAAATTTTAGTATTTACAGAAAACCTAAAACCATAATTGGGATGATGTTTATCCTCTTACATATCCTAAATCTCTTGCAAAATTAGTAACATTTAACATTACCTAGCTCATAGAATTATCAAAATCAATAAAAATAACATCTGTTCAACTGAAGTGGGTGTAAGACGATGCATAAACTGAAGTGCTTGCTAACCAAATTGCAATCAGATGCATACCAATTACTATCTCCCTTGTTCACAGTCACATTAAGCTAGATCTTGTAAATATTTTTTTCTATTTTATGGTACGATGTGGTCTGTCTGGTTGGTATATAAACCCAGAATGTTTGAAATAAATGATTCATATTGCAGAGGCCGTTATTGGTGTTTTGGACTTAACTGGCTGGGTTAGGCGGAAAGCAGGACTGATAAGGACTCTAGACTACTCGTATGGTTTCCATGTGTCATTGGTCCTATCGATAATCCAACGCTCTCTAATTGGCAGTATTATCACGTTATACAGTAACAGGATGCACAGGCCACAAGATTTAACAATACATTCGATCTATATAGATTAGATATTCACATAATTACAACTCTGCGGTTTCGGGATTAGGTCTATTATTATACCGGTATTAACAACGAACTAGACCATAATTCTACAAAATCATCCAATATGATTTAAAAGTGTAATTAATGCTGTGAAGAGCACGCCAAACAGACGTACGACAGCGTACAGGAATCCCGATTAGACATTGAGCAGTGGTGGATGTAGTGCTTGTGTAAAATAATGATCGTTTCGCAAATACCTGACATCACCATTGAAACTTCCGTGAAATCCAGCCTAGAATTATTATTATTATTAATGGCTTTATTCAATATTATATTCCGGTACTATATAGAATTCTCAGCATGAGGTATTTCAACAAGTTTTCTCTTTACCAAAAAAGGGAAATACAAAATATTTAAAAAATTTGAGTCTGTACAAATGATCAAATTTGAGACATGCTTCAGAATACGGGTTATTTACTAGGTTAGCTCTAACAATCTGTTCGTCGCAGAGTACATTTTCTGGGTAAGGTATTTCAGTCCTTGCTCATTTGTGACTACTAGAAAGCTTATTGATGAGCTCTGAAAACCGGTAGTTCTCATCTTATTAATTCCGAACATCTCAAAATATCTTCGCCAGGTTTGAAAATATATCTTGGCTGTGTTTGCGGGCTACGGTTGTCGTTAACGCGTGCCGGTGGAGAAGTTTCACGAAACGTTTTTCGTGTTGGTCAGTATGGGGCTTGAGAAATTTCAGGACTTTCTATAATTTCGCGAAGATTTTCCGTGCTGATTATGATGCCGACACCAATCAGGGTTATCTGTCCCTCATGATCTAGAGGCAGATTGTTTTCGTGAAGAGCTACGAGAAGTTCGTGAACGTCTACGGTGGTGAAGAGTGTTAAGCTAATGTATCAGAGTATGATGGAGTTCTGTAACGCCATTCCGTGTTGTCTGAGGTGTTTCTTTGACAGAATAAATCATAATCCAGTCATCAGATGCAACAGGTTTGGCTGCGGCGTTGTTTTGAGATGAAACGAGGACCACCTGGCACCTGTTAGGGAATCTCAGACAAGAAAAGTTGTTAGAACAGGCCCTCGTGAAAGGTCCACTAACCAATTACCTTTCTCATACCCAGCAACATTTCTATTGCTGAGCCATGTTGCAACTAAATCTCTTGTAAAAGTTGATCTAACCTTTGTCGGTCGGTTAGGTCTCCAAGTTTATGAATGGCCTTTTTTAAAGTTTAGAAAGGTTCTGAAACATCATTATTAAACATACTGGGTGCCACATACCTGTAAAAATAGAGCAGGAATGCACCCACTACTGCGAGAAATTGTGCACGTGTGTCTGTCATATCGTGCTCGTGGAAGTCAGCTTCTGTGTAGCAGAATCAAGTCTTGATGTTGTCGGGCCAAAATGGCATTAGCTGAAATGAGGGTGGCGAAAGAGTCTTGATCCTAAATAACTTAGGAATCCGTCCCGAAATGACGAATATAAAGCATACCAATAAACGAGAAAAAATATCCGAAAATATATGAACAATATCACTTCACGTAAGAATACAAATTAAAACATGGTATCTGTTTGGTGTGCCAGACCACATCAGTTTCATCAGTAAAGATGCCACGAGTATCCAGAGTTTAACAACGCCTTTGCCAGTGACACCTTTATAATCGGAGTATACCAACCCAGTCAAATCAGAAATGAACTGTTTCCATGATATATTTGATCGATCCATCGAGGAGCGTTCTGTTTAAGCTGACTAACAGTTGCAGAAGGCGAGTAACACCGTGTACTCACTCGTGATCTGGTGAGGATGCGCAACCAAGCGCCTTCAGCTAAGTGAGTCCATTAAGAGTGTTGCGATCGGCATCAAGTTTTGAAGACTTACAGAGACATCAATTTGGGGATTTATTTACTGCTACAAAAGATCTGGAGGTGACGTAATCACAGTTGTTAACTTTCCTGATGACTGGTTTGTGTTTGATATGTTATTATTTCTCTTGTCTTCTGGAACAAAGAATTTACTAAATAATTCTACAATATTAATTATAGAAGGGGTTTTGTGGAGATTTAGTATTTATTGTAGTTGAAAGCGTGAGTCAATTGAACTGGCCGTCCAGTGTTTCCAGGTTTTCCATGGTGGTCTAGCTTCAATTGACTCACGCTTTCAACAATTCTACAATAGTTTGCCTGCCCAGAACAAATTACTTCTCAGCCGACGGTCAATTTTCCAAACGATTCATCAAAAAATGCACCTCTTTACCTCAACTCGGGGTTGAATCTCTATCCTTCAAAATAAAGTTGGATCAACTATGAGGTCACCATTACCAGGACAAATACAGACCACCCAGCCTTCTGTTTTTCCCAAACTGGAACTTCGAAACAACACGAGAAGGTAAATACGTAACCCAAATTGGCTTATTCAAGGTGAAGATACAACAGGTATTGTAATTTGACAACACTTTACCAGTAGCACCTTCTATGATCGAATCGCGCCGACCCAAAATCAAAAGTCAGAAGCGAGGAGGTTGGAAGATATATTTGATAGATTGTCAATATATCGAGGAGTGACTGATCTAATCTGAGTGGTGATCGCAGGAGGCGTTGCGCACGCCATTCCAAACCGGATGCATGATTGAACGCCTTCAGTTATCTGAGTCTATCAAAACTAATGTGGTCAGCATCCAATATCAAACACTGACAGAGTTATTGATTTTGACGATTTATTTACAGGTACAAAGGGAAGAACAGTCATACACAAAGGCCTTTTAGGAATGAATTAACAGTGGTTCATATCCTTTTGTCCTCAAAATAAGGATCTGAATTTGAACTTTGATAATTTGGTGGTATTATAACTTGTACTCGCTACGGCGTTTTGTTACCGGTCGGTGGTGGTGCGTTATGTAGAACTTTTCCACTAGATTTTATTATTTTGTGAATGGGTTCAAATAGATTCCCAATACAGATGCAATCAATGAGTAGCCTTTAATTAGTACCCCCAAAACTGTTTACACTTTATATTAATAAATATATTTTTGGAAATTGATTAGACTTAGCGTTCACTGATATACAGGGCAGATAACAATAAGCCTCTCAATTTGCCTTATAGAACCCCGATGAGTATTAAAGTTTGGCAAGAAATTTCGCAATCCATTCGTCCACAACCGATTAACCAGGAATTCCTTGACCGATCTGCATTTATGTTTTTTTCCAAGTTTTCAAGCTTCAACAAAACACTATTGTATGCAATTATTTCAGTATTGTGGTGTAATTGTGTTTATTGTCAAGGATACAACTATATGTGTAGCAAGTTATCTAAATAATACATGTAGATCGTCCAGTCTTATTGACTTTCATTTGCTTGAAGTGGTGATCCCCTTGAGTATAACATTCTATTTACTGTTCATGAAAATTCGTCCGACCTCATTCATACAGCTTATTCTGTATTTAGAGGTAGCTTGTAAGCGCAGGCTCCCAAGGTTGTTTGTGGCATTATAGCTGATGTCACTTCGTGGTGAGAACCCTAAATCTAATTCCTAACCCTAACTATCAGCGGTAAATATTAATCCTAATTCCTCACGCTAGTTTTCAACCCTCATTTAGCCGTAGTATGTCGGTGGACATTCCCAAAGTCTTTCAAGGGTCGCTCAAAGGTAGTCCATAAATTGTAGTCTCACCAATCTCCTAAGTTTTAGTCACCTAACATTCAAAACACGTTCGCCACGCGAATTACGGTAGGGATTCTAGGACATCTTGTTAATGTTGTTAATGTCGGTGGATGTTTCCTTTGTTTGCGTGATAACATTTTGGATCTAATTATAAAGGTGCTTTACTCTGCCATTTCCGATTGTGTTATCTGCGTCCCAACATTTGTTTTCGTTCTACAGTAAGCGACGAGTTTCATGATGACTATATAACTCTTAGCTGATGCTCCCGAGTTAACTTTTCAGCAGTCTGAAAAAGCTTCTGAGCTTATCATTGCTATATCAGTCTCCAATGTTTTGAAACGATCTGACAACTCAGCTTAGTAGAATAATAACAATATCAAACTTAAAGGCGATAACTATATGATCACGCTTTCCAAGAAATGAGGGTTGTGTACCGAAAAGATTGCAGAAGTACTAAGCTCTATAATGTCATACCTGTTGTTCAAGGGTCTGAGAGGTTATGGCTTTTGGGAGCTTGTAGCAAATAAGTTCGTTTATGACTCCATTACAAGATCTACTTTTCTAGTTATTGAGTTAGATAACTTGAACATATCATTCTATCGTCTCTCACACCCCACTGCTTGCTAAACATGGAATTGAATGGATAAAGATAAATGGTAGCTAGTTTATCGTACAACGCCGTGATGTAAAAACATTTATCAAATATTTACCCGTCCTCAGATACCCTGGTACGGCCGAGAGTGGGGAGAGTCCGCTCTCCCTCTCGAAATGCTCTCACATGGCCACGCGTATATAGCCTCTGCCAGGGAAGTCCTACTCACTGCCTTCTCGTGGCATGGGTGTTGTTTACGGAAGTGAGAGGACGAAAAGATAATGTACGGCGCTCTAACCGTGTTGGTAGACACGAAAAGTTCACCTAGGGGAGTTGAAAAACCACAATTCCAAACCAATGGTGCACATGGGCTCCAGGATCCTGAAGGAACAAATGGCGTATGAATCAATTGTTGGTTACCAGTTACCATGGGACTGCATCTCCTCACGATGCTCCACTGCCTTGTGGACTAGACCTTCAGGTCAAAGGCTCGAGGAGTGGCCCCCTAAGAAAACCACCTGCTTCAGTTTGGGCACCTGGGCAGTATCACAGCCCTCACACAAATCAAACAAGATTTGTGAAGCACATATTCATCTGGTGCTTCCTTGTACCAATATTTATGTGTACCAATATTACGGTTCCCCAAATTTTAGGATCCCTAATTATTTTCATTTGAATTACAGCTTAAGACTGAAAGTCTGAGAAAGTGTAGCTGAGTTAAAGCAGATTTTCGTTTGTCGATACCTGCTTAAATTAAAATATGGTTCATGATGCATGCAGTTTCCGTAGCTAAATGTGTTGGAACAGATTTATGTTGGTCCATCAAACTCAATGTTGTTCACTGCACTAACGTACTTGTAACTTTCCGATGTCCTTTCTTTTTTAGAAATCGTTCAGTTAATCGGAGCATTCCACTCCGTATTCAACCATTTCGCAAATACATACGAATATTATTTCTGTACCATTTCTATTACTTTCAGAAATGCGGAATAGTCTCAGTTACAAACTTATTTTTCTTAATAGTACTGATAGAAGTGCTGCAAGTCATAAAAGGAATATGTATATTGAATTTTTAAGCTTATGGTGCATCCAGTATCAGTGGTACAGAGACCCCTTCAAGTTATGGATTCAATCAATATGTGAGTTGACTATCTAATTATATGATTCGATAGCTGTTGATTCATTTTTCTTATTTGGATGCATTGATTGTGGCGAAAGTGTTGAAGATGAATGGTTCATTGTTTGGATGCTTTCCGAAATAAGCAAATTAGATCCTGAAGTTATTATTCAGTTAGTTAAATGCTCACTTTCTATCGAGAAATTTAGAGTTACTGATGAAGACGGTGAATTCCTTCTTATCGAATGTGCGAATCAGTTACCAAGCTGGATCAATCCTGAGAATGCTGAGAATCGTGTAAGTGAATCTTTATTTTCATGTAAATATCTAGGTTTGGTTTTACCGAGGAGAATTATGTATTCTTTGCAAAGACAGAAAGTTAAAAATAACATTAAATAATGCACTAGAGGCTTTCAGAAATTTCGACAAAGCTGCATTTCTTACATCAGATAATATACAAGCTAGCATACAGGCAAAAACAAAAAAGTATGTTCCCATTTATTTTGTGTTTACAAATTTACTTTTGAAATTTATTCAGTGTCGTTATAAACCTTCGCTTTTGGTTCGTTTAATATTTATTGGAATGAAAAATACGGATTTCTATCGTGAAATAAGACCTTATAAACATCTTATATTCTATTGTCACTTTCACTTGATTCTATGGGTCCTAAACGTAAAATAGTTTTTGTCTATCTATATAAGACACCAGTATTAATACTATCACTACCCCAGTTACTAACTATTATATATTATTATAACGGAAGAAATACTGTAGAATTTGGGACTGGTTTTTCGATTTATTATTAATTATAGTTTTTTATAATTACTGAGTAATTAAATTACTATGTATATATGTTGCATTTATCAAAAACTTTAGGTTGACACATTAACTACTGTTGTAGGAGTTGTTATCTGTAATTTGTTGCCAATCTATTACAGTCCCTCTTTTTCACAAGCAATTTTAGCTTATTCATGTATGATTGTTATTTTTCATTTTTTGATGTTATGCTTTCTGGTATGTCAGTATATAAACCACACCTGTTTGCAATACAAATATAGTAGAGGCTTGCTGCTACTTCTGGACTCAAGGGTATTTGCATAGAGGAGCTAGCAGATAGTCAGCAAATAGGAATCTGGATGCGGGCTCAAGATCAATAGTGCTGGTCGATTGTGTAATTGTCCAGGTCAAGCAGTGAGTTATAAAGTACATACCAAATCGAAAGAGAATTGTGATTCTGATTGGTGACTGGGCACGTGATGTCGGTCAGCGGATTTGAAGACAACATGTATACTGTTTGTATATGTATATACTCACACACATAAGCCACTTTGCTGTCTGTTTGGTTTCATCTGCCTATATCATTGTAAACGTCTGGATGAAATAAGTACAACCTTGATAGGTTTCGACCGATAGCTGAAAACATAAACCAATTTTATAGCATATTTGAAGGTATTTCTATAGGGTGGGTATACTGAATTTATGATCTTGGGCATAATCATGAATGTATATACTAAGCCGTATTGTTATCCCAGTGGTTTTAAACAAAGCAGAGTCAAATGGTGGTTCGTTGTGGAACCTGGGGTGTGTGTCCCATCATACTTAGGACTTGTCACTTGTAAGTATCTACAGCCATGTTAATGTTCATATCGGTACTCAACCCACCACTTCTCTCTCCAAACGCCCACCGTGTTATACACTTAGCTACTAAGTCCAAATAGTCGCTGACGCCTGTAACAGGATGAATTTCAATTCATTTTTGTTGGTTGCTAAAATCTTCCTGTTGATGTTATGGGGAGATTTAAGCAACCAAAAAAAATGAATTGAAATTCATCCTGTTACAGACGTCAGCGACTATTTGGACTTAGTAGCTAAGTGGATAACACGTTGGGCGTTTGAAGAGAGAAGTAGTTTGTTAAGTACCGGTATGAACATTAACATGGCTGTAGATACAAGTGACAAGTCCTAAATATGATGATGCACGCGACCTGGATCTCACTGCTATCCATAATACATTTCATAAATAAGTTACACGAGGTGTTTACTCAATATGTGATAATTATGTTGTACACATTCAATTTCTCAATGCCTCAGCTAATATTTTAATAACTCTTCTCTTAAGATATCCAGATTTTGTTAAGACTTCGCATTTGGCTCACATTACTGTTCCATACCCGGTTGCAGCTGTTTTTACAGTTTTTGGCTCAAAGGATATAATTAATTCATCTATTGATGTTCTAGCTGATAAAATTTCCGAACATTCTGCTGTACAGTCATGGTTAAAGCTGTTTAACAATAATTCAACCATTTTTGCAAACCGTTGCAAGAATAAGGGTGGTGTTCGTAAATCGAGCTGGCCGAAATTAGCTGAATTATCGAATTCATATGTAACAATCCCAATGCGATTCAACAGACTTCGTTACGCTCTACTGCGTTCTTTACCAACACCAAGCGGATTTGAACAACCTCCAAATGATGATCTGGCTTCCAGCCGTTTAGGTGCTGAACTTGGATTAAAATTGGTTGGTTTGTTAGTGTCTCAATGTGATAATTCCTGCTTGTATCTGCTGTTTTTCATGATTCAGTTGTCTTTTTAATTTGTAATTTGGATGTACATATACAAAGGGGACTCACAATCTTTGTGATCTTTAGTGTCAAGCTGAGAACTATAAATAAAGTTCCGTCTGTTAACACAAATGGTGTTTGCTGTATGTTGGTCCTGTTTAAGATATCTCAAAAACCGTATTTAACAATCTGATTCTCATTAATATAGAGGTTTTGTAAAGGCTGATAAGTTTTCATAGAATGATCTTAGGTAAACCATCATTGAAAACTATAAAACATTGGACAGCTGTTTATTCCTAGTGTTGGACACCCTAGCAACTTGCATTCGATAATCCCACCGGAGATTCAACCCGGAACCTTCGCTCTCGCGCACGAATGCCTAACCTCTAGACCACTAAGCCGTCACCTAATAGTGTACGTCTAACTTCAATCAATTCACGATATTGGTCGATCATCTGTCATTGCGCATGATGGATAACTGTCTCACATCCGATTAAAGTTGGACGTATACACTATTGAATGCCAGCTTCATGACCTAGAGTTTAGGCGATTTTAAGCAAAGCCGAAGGTCCTGGGTTCGGTCTCCAATGGGATCATGGATGAACATTACTGGAGAGTCTTATACTAGAATGAAACTGCTGCCCAGTGCTCCCTTACCTGCCTACTCCTGTTGCCTCTCGTGGAGGAGCATAGGTCGCACACCATCATTCTCCATCCAACCCTGTCTTGAGCAATCCTTTCCAGTTGCTATTCATCCTTTTCATATCTGCTTCTATTTCCCAGAGTAATGTGTTCTTTGGCCTTCCTTTTTTCCGCTTCCCTTCAGGATTCCAAGTTAGGGCTTGCCTCGTGGTGCAGTTTAGTGATTTCCTCAATGTATGTCCTATAGAGAGTCTTCATTGGTGCTGTGGACACTGTTTTATTTTGTTGATTTTTGGCTTTTAGCTTCAGTGAAACTCAACTTTGAAAATCTGATCGATTCTCTCTGCACGAACGCTAAACAAATCTGTACCGATGATACAATCGATATTGAACTTGATAAACTACAGCAGATACTAATCAACAATGGATATCCATTTAGATTCAATAAGTTAAATGTGAAATCGAAAAAACATCATAAAATAGTGTACACAGCACCAATGAAGACTCTCTTCATGAACATTCAGTCTAAATTAGATACTGTAACAGACCTTCAAGATCTCTCAGAAAAACATTCTAATCGTCTGAACTTTGTATTAGCTTTTTCGGCCGGCATGAAGAATAAGCTCCCGCTTTATGCTAAATCAATGTGCATCTATCAGTTTGCTTACTCATGTGGAGCAGGTTATATTGGCCGCACGAAGCAAGCTCTTTCAAAGCGCATCTCCAAACATTACCGTAAAGAAAATTGTTTTCGCTGAATTGCCTTCTTTTTTCTTCAATGACCTAATGAGTCTCTTTCACTAACTTTTATCTATACTAATAACTGTTTACGTCTCCTGACAGGATTTATGTTGACTGTAAGGGAAGTAATTTGTCTGTTAACCAACAACATGAAGTGATTAGGTAAGATCATAAAAATATTTTCATCTATGTTATTGATACATTTCAATTTTAAGAATTACTGATAAGGTCTATAAGGTCTTAAGTATAAAACAGTCCATAGCAAATTGTATGAACTACTGAGATTATTTTTAGTGAGTTCGGATTGTTACTAGCAGTGGAATCCAGAAAACGTGTTTCGTCTCACAAAAACCCTTAGAGATATCAGAAATTGTCTAACTTTTCTGTGTTTTTTTAATATCAGTGTTTTCGAAAGAAAAAAACATTCTGTAATCTAAAATTGTGTCAATTTGAATTGATTAGTTCATAACAATCCTATGGACTTTATAATTATTCGAAGTTGTACTACTTGGGTTTGACGTACTATGGTTAAATTAGCTCGTATCCAGGTTCGCTTGGAGTTTCATTGACACTACGCGTAACGGTTATTATGTTAGTATATATGGAATTATCGAAATTCTACCGGCATTACTTGTCTGGTTGAATGACCTGATTTGGAACGATACATTATAAACTAATATTTGTTATCCAGTACTTAAAATTAGTGTTTAAGTCCTCAGCTTTTAAATCGATTATTCAACTCATTTAATATGTGATATTTGTCCTTTTATAAGCAATTTGGCAGAATAGTACGTTATGTAGTGTCTAAACAAAGCCATTTCCTTCGGTTTTTATCCTACTAAAATAATTGTTTTGCTGATCAGTAGGAAAATCAGTTCAAATATTTCATGACTTCAACACTTTTCTAACTTTATTTCAGTGCATTGGACTTGATTTATTGTTAAATTTTGTGGGAAAACATGAACAAGATCTGGACTTTTCTCCATATTTCATGGCTTCCGCTGAATCTAAAGAAAAATGGAATAAATTTATAGAAAGACTGACTAGTAGCAGTTATTTTCAGGTAATTCTTTGGACATTCTCGATAACCTGAACACTCTATCTTTAATTCTGTATTGATGGCTGATTCGAAAAAAAACTACATGAATCCGTTTAATTTAATGGGATCAATGACCCCCTTTATTGTAATAATGGTGTCCTTAGTTTAATGTTTTTGACATAGGCAGTATAAAAATAAATTGCACTTAAATCACTCTAAACTAATTTTTGTGTTCATAGAAGCAAACTGCAACCACTTAGTTTCAGAGATTTGACATGACTGTCAGAGTTGATTGGAACATAGAACTACAGTAATGAAGTAACTGAATGTGCAGATAACTATCAGATGTGAAATTTTTAGATTTATATTTCATAAATCATGACGGTTCGTATTTCGAGCAAATATAAGGAAATAAAAGGAAATATTCGTAGTCGGTTATTTTTATTATTGATACAAGGAAGCACCAGATACATATGCTCCGTACAAATCATTCGATTTGCGTGAGGGCTGCGATACTGCCCAGATGCCCAAACTGAAGCAGGTGGTTTTTTAGGGGGCCACACCCGGAGCCTTTGACCAAAAGGTCTGATCCACAAGGCAGTGGAGCATCGTGAGGAGATGCAGTCCCATGGTAACTGGTGACCAACAATTGATTCATACGCCATTTGTTCCTTCAGGATCCTGGAGCCCATGTGCACCATTGGTTTGGAATTGTGGTTTTTCAACTCCCCTAGGTGAACTTTTCGTGTCTACCAACACGGTTAGAGCGCCGTACATTATCTTTTCGTCCTCTCACTTCCGTAAACAACACCCATGCCACGAGAAGGCAGTGAATAGGACTTCCCTGGCAGAGGCTATATACGCGTGGCCATGTGAGAGCATTTCGAGAGGGAGAGTGGACTCTCCCCACTCTCGGCCGTACCAGGGGGGGGCTCGTAGTCGGTTTGTCAGACTGAGCATGTATTTTGATTGATTTATCAAGTATTTCCCGGGACTGCGATGTTTATAATGTGTTGAGATTTTGGAAATTCATGTTATTTATGTGAATAGTGTTTTGATTATCTTTCAGATTATTGTTTGCTCTGTAGCAGTTGTTGATCGCTGCTGGTTTGCCACTTGATGTGCTTTCGGTTTATTTCAATTTTGATACATATGAAATAAATCATTTTGATGATATAAACAAGAATCTTTTGTGGTTGATTTATGTTCAAAAAGAATTTGAGATATTTACCATTTTAGCATAAGGAGTTGAGTAGTTGACTATCTTGACGTTATCATTCAGTCAAGCTTCTCTATTGCTCTGAGTGAGCTTCTCAACCAGAAAATCTCATCACAGGTTCTTTATCTAGTCATTGTCAACCTTCATAATTTGTTACGTTAGTTCCCCTTAATATAATTTACTAGTTTATCGCTTGCATAATCAGATAATGGTGAAGTACTTTAAAACTTGTGACTAGACATTGGTTTCAGGATTGTGTTTTCCCCACCAAATCACCTTAAATGGTGCTTCAAATAGTTTTTCCTAGCTAGTGTTTTTTTAGTAATTTTTTTAGGGGACAGAATTGTTAACCCTCATGCTCAATCCTCCTTCTGTATGTAGACTTGGGATCGGCAGTAACCTTTGAAGGGTTCCAGGTAGAGTTACAACATCAACACGGTGGAGCAAGATTAACAAAATGAGTCAAAATAATCACTATGGCAATGACAGAAATGACTGATGGGTATATGGTTCGAACAAAAAAGTAAAATAAAGTATTAGAAATTGCGAAGAAATATTGAAAATAAGATTTAGGTGAGGAAAAGGAATGACTTGTGTGTATCACTGTGTATCACGGATTTTGTTCCATTCCACCTAAGGTCTCCTAGCACTGACCGCAATTGTCTTCCGAACCAAAAGCACATAGTCTGTACATGTTAACACATCTCAGATCCAGTCAATGACTTCAGTGATCAATGTTGTCTCTTGGTCTGATCACTCCTGGCTTCCAACTTACTAATAAACTGACAGGTATTTCGCATATATATGTTAGGTGGAGCTGGTTATCCTTATCGAAATGTAATTTGTCACCAACCTGCTATCTTAAGTATTGTGTTTGGAGATATTAACATGATAAACTTATCAATACTTTCTAATAATTTCAGTTACGATAAATTACAATTTAAATATCGGAATTTTTAACATCATCATCTGAGTGTGAAAAAATATTTTATTCTTTTAGGGTGTTTCAGAAGAATCGTGGTTGCATAATGAACTACTGCAGCAAGCGCAGTGGCACTTTCTTGAGTTTCTTCCAGATAAGCCACCTGGACCACCAATCTGCAGGTATGTTTAGATATAACTTATATTTATGACTATGGAGTACTTTTAATTTATCTTCACCAGGCCTTTTCGAACTGAGAGTGTTCGTCGACTGCGCGTTTGATTTTCGTTTCTTTTGAAGGATTTCTGACATCCAATAGTAGTACTATGTTAGTAACCGTGAGAGTTGGCAGTGTGTGTTTCCGAGCAGTGAGTTATTGTTATCATCTCAAAACACGATGCAATGGTCTGAACATGTTTTACGGTTGCCATCCCAACGATTTCCATGTAGTGTTTTGTTAGTCGACTCCGAGACTTGTTAGAAAAACGGGAGAGGCTCTCAGTTTATGACTAAGAGCCGTGGTATAAAAGAGTGATGGATAGGACTGGAACCTATCGGTCTATCATGACTCTCTGGTTTATACACAACTCAATGGCTTGATATGTTGTCAGATATGTCTCAGAATAGGAGCCATTAACTATCCTGCTGTAGTTTTCGTTTGCACTTGCCAGGAGAAGTCAGGGAAACACCATTAGCTAAAAGACCTCTTTTTCGGTTGTACCGTTAACTGAACTGTATTTACTATTATACACCATTAAACTGCTGCTACATTACATAATATATGAAAGCAAATTGACAAAATATTTTGATGAAAAGTTAATGATGTGGTAGTTATGTAAAAATCATGAGACAGATATTAAAATATGTAAAAATACAAATGTGAAAGAAACTAGGAAATTGTTTTAGTATTTTTAAAAGAATAGGTTTAATCAAAGTTCAGCTAAAAATGTTAGATTGGGAATTTTCACTGTAAATATGCGTGTAGATTATAACCTTTTGTTAAAACATGTATGTAGTTCGCATTTAAACAAAAAACATTAAGCCCAGCAAACGGATCTCTTTTAACGAACCTATTATCAAGCTGAACAATCGTATATGCATATATATATATCTGAAAATTTTTTTAGGTATTAATTCCGCGAGGACACATGAACAGAAAGTAAACATGGTAACGTAGTAGAAAGGTTATGCTACTAGACTACCCAATGTAAATAGTAACAATAAAAGATCGTGTGTATGTAGATGAAAAACTCTCAGCTTGGATACGAGAATACGTTCTAGTGGGGTTCTACAAGGGTAAGAGAAAAGTAGTTAGAAGTTCCATTCCTGAACATTTAGTGGATTCCAATCACTCCACTAATCCACAAGTTGATTTTAAGTTCTTAAAACGGCAGAAGCTCTTTCCATCTATGAGATAAAGCCAGAACTGTGCGTGCGAATAAAGTACGTGTTATCCTTATCTTTGCCATGGCCTCAAACTATTATTATTATTTTCTTATATAAAAGCATCCCCCTCTCTTTTGAGTTATTTCTCGTATCCCCATGACCTTATTCATAATTGTTTCTGATATCACTTTATTTAATTTAACTCCTGTATTGCTTTTAATCATCGTAATAAAAACTTTTTAATTATTTTAGTCCATTTACATTATAATCCGTTGTTAACTTATTAATTTCTTATTTGCACACATGTAATGTTTTATTGTTAATATTTACATAACGTAATCATATGTTATTACCTTTTTATTACATTGTCATGTTTATTTTTTGTTCATATGTCCTTACAGAATTAGCTCTTAAAATGATTTTAATATGCATATGTATATATATGACTGTTCAGCTTGATAATAGATTCGTTAAAAAGAGATCCCTTCGCTGACCGTGTTTTTTTAGTTTATATAGCTGCTGATTATTAATTGTCTCTAGGACTTAAATTAAATATTACTTATTGTGACTTACTGGTACGAAAGCTGAAATATATTTATTAGAAAACTTTTTTGATTTATCTGATCTCATCAGATTACTCAGTGATGTAATGTTCCCTTCAAAATGTATCAAAATTAAATTATTTCAGATTTTTCGTTTGTTGATTCCTTTTTGACCATAATTTTGCTGTCATGTTAAGTAGATTTTCAAACTGAACTCTTGGGTTTGGAATCTGTTTGATTATGGGTAAGGGATGTAAAATTTGCAACCAAAGAATAAATTTCACATATCCCTCATCTAAATGTATACACGCTTCAACAATGTAGTTCAATCAGATTGCTCAGCTGATCAGACAAATTATTACGAGATCTTAATGATGATTTCTGTTTTAACATTCATTTGATTATTGAATAAATTTTCCTGACTTCTTAAATCTCAATTTATCTAGATCAGACTATCTTTAAATATACTTCATTATAATTAACATAAAAAATATTCCCCATCATTCTTTCTATATCAGCATTTCGTGATCATAATTTGTAAGCCAATTAATTTTCTAATTTGAACACTTGAACACTTTTTCAAAGTTATTAGGTTGACATTATAACACATAAACATGCAAGTATTTCATAAACACTTCATAGATAGATCCGCCTTGTTAATTGTTGTTTACGAAAGTGAGAGGACGAAAAGAGAATGTCCGGCGCTTTAACCGGGTTGGTGGACATAGAGGGTCCACCTAAGGGAGTTGGAAAACCCTGATTCCAAACAAGTGGTGCACATGGGCTCCAGTATCCTGAGGGAACAAATGGCGTACGAATCAACCGTTGATCACCGGCTACCATGGGACTGCATCTCCTCACGATGCTCCACTGCCTTGTGAATCAGACATTCAGGTCAAAGGCTCGAGGTGTGGCCCCCTAAGAAAACCACCTGCTTCAGTTTGGGCATCTGGGCAGTATCACAGCCCTCACACAAATCGAATGAGATTTGTGAAGCACATATTTAAATAAATAAAATAAATAACTATTGAAGTAAAAAACCTTTTACCCGGTTTTATCATATTGGTGAGACTAAAGTGCATTCCTACATTTATAATTGTTTGATGGCAACGAAATTCCAAAAGCACACAGTTCATACTTGATTGAAGTATTGTTTATGATATGTCGGTAGAATTAGAATATTTTCTGTTTTCCACGATATACTACTACTATACAATAATATGACCGGTTACTACCACTAGGTTAAGTACTCAATTGATACAGTGTACACAGACTGGATAAGGTTATACCAGATACATGACCAAATATAGAGAACCAGAATAAAGACCAGACAAAACTTTATTCAACATCATTATAAGCACTTTATACTTGGTGGGTCAATATCAGGAGTCTATGATAAGGAAGGAAATGAATTAACTAATATATATATATATATATATATATATATATATATATATATACCGGTTGCTTGGATCCTCCAATTGTTGTTTAGCATTGCGTCCTAGATTCCACTGCTAGCCACTATCCATCTCTGCTTGAGGTTTATGTACTGTGTTCGAAGCTATACGCTTTATGTTTAAGGACTAGCGATACCATCCTGCTGCTTAAACTAAAATGGGTGCAGCGGGATTGAAAATCTGAGACCTAGTCGTTGAAAGTTTGTTCCTTTAACTATTATGCTACTGATTTGTTTTAATCTTTATGACAAGCTATAGATTCTTCCCGGTTGAATAGTAATACTTATTATTGTTTCCGAAACACAATTTATTAACCAATTGTTTTAATAATCATACTTTATTTATGCGTTGTATCCGCTAATCATTTTGACTTCTTTTATTTTAATGTTGAAAATATTGCAGCAGTTCTGATGAATCCCTGTGTAATACACAAACAACACAGAACAACTTCCAGAAACACAGTCAATTTGTATACTCCATTTTAAATTACATGGAGAATAATGAATGTTATTCATCTTGTGTGCAGAGATTTTATTCGTTTGAGGCGAACGGAATACCTCCGGCTGATGGTATGTCTTCGTAGTAAATTGGACACATTAACAGTATATCATTTTGAATAGAATACTATATATATATATATATATATATATATATATATATATATATATATATATATATATATATATATTCAACATTATCCCATACACTACAAGTCGAGCTAGCGACTTTCTCATCTACTATCCTATCTGAAATTTTGATCTTTCATAACGGGTTAATATCATTGTGTAATTTCTTCATTTGTTCTAAAATGTACGATTTTGCCTTTAGGACAAAGCAGTATATTTTCATAGAATGTAATGTGGTTGAGGCATCAACTGACCAGCTTGAGTAGCTTCATCTTATGATACTAGTCTTCCACCTTGGTAATTCAATGTGTAATTACTTGTCCCAGTGCGAATTTCATATGCCGTTAGTGGATTTTATCTATTTAACACTCTCAGTGTAATTAATTAGGTCTAAACTTAAAAAATGTATCAGTCTAGGAGACGGATGTATCTGGTGTATAAAGTGATCCAGTAACTTTTTTAATGAAATGTTTTTGGTTTGATTACTTTATTCATCTCAGATGAATCTTGGATGTTCGTCACTCCAGAGGAGTTAGACAAAATGTTATTAGAACGAAACGAAATGATTGAGTTGGATCCACCATGCTCGTCGATTTCGTCACTTTTGAAAAGTTTCATGAAATCTTCGTCTTCTTTTAAAGGTGTTGAACCAAGAAAGAAACGGTTAGTTCAATTCTCGTTACTTAGTTATTTGTTTCATAAAAGATGTTTAACTTTAACTCATGTATTTATGTGTTTATTACAGTGTGAGATTCTCAGAGTTAACGACTGAGAACAGTAGCAGCAAGTTCAATAAACTCATCAACAAAATGGAATAATACAGACAAACGTCACCTATAAGGCACGTATATGTTGGCAGTATATTATCATATTTGTATAAATGTTTGAAGGGTATTTTTAAGTTGAACAATTGATAAAATAATTTGAAAACTTCTAACAAACAGAGTTAAACAGACATCAATTAATACTTAAGCACGTATAAACACCCCACCTCTTGTCCTACAAAAATGATCTTGATAGTAAAGCTTAAAACCATTTTATGATGCCAAATTATCAACATATAATTCACACAACTAAGACTCATGTAATACAAATACGCTTTAATATGCTTTAAGTAATTAAGAATAAGAGAGATTGAAGGGAATTCAATTTTTCTATGGGATATCCGCAGTTTGAACAAAGTATTTCAGGAACGGAAATTTGATAAACTGTCATTCTTTTTTTTTGTTTTCACTAATTATGGAGATGTCCCCAGTTGAATCATAAAGATTCACTAATAATAATCTTGAAATATTCCCCAATGTAGATCAACTGCGTAACGCGACCAGTGATAATCCTAGACTTGCATGGTTAACCTTGAGTTGAGGCTGAGTTGGCCTTGAATCCTATTAGTCCAGGACGTATTCCCTTCTGGTACCCCAGTTTCTAGTTTGATAAGAGAACACAACAGCCAAGTTTCTACTTATCTATGTTTGAGGCACTAAATCATTATATCTTAACCACACATAATTTATCAAAGTCCATCGCACCTCAGGTAAGAAATCATATTTTAGATACAATCAACCTGTATATGACACAGAACGGAGCAAACGATACATAATTGATCAGCATTAATTAAGGGATAATAAAATGAATAGCAATAATCAGTAAGTTCGATGGAAGCTCCCAAGAAAGGGAACACAGAAATACAATAATCCAATTATTCAATAATTATACAAAAAAAGATAACAGTTGGTAAACTAGTTTTATAAATTCCAATTTTAATACTCTCTCCGTTATTGACCTGTTTCCATTTATTAGATAGTAAAAGATAAGTTAAACAATGCAGTTTTATTTATAACTATTCTATGTTACTACAGGAATATATGTTAGGGATCTGATTAGTTAGTCTAATCATAATCTTATCAACATGTCATTGTGTTTCACTAAATTTTACTACGATAATCATACTTGCTGCAAATCTACATATAATAAGTGATGTATAAAAGTTTGAAATATCTATATTCAAGACTGTGTTATGTTTTGACACAAGAGCCAAAAACAGGTCTTTTTTGAGATGATAGTTTTTAGGAAGCTCCATCTCTTTCTCAAATAAACTTATGGTCGATATAAAAAAACGTTAACGTAAATGAAAATGTTTAATTTTCATAGTTTTTCAGTTAGTCAGTCAGCTACAACGTAGGACCAGGCACATTTATGTATCGGTCCAAGTTGCCATACCTCGTTAGCACAACAAGATTGAACACCAGATTCATAGAAGTAGTTAATTTAGTGGTGGTAGTATATAAAAGATAGGTTGTATATAAGGATATAGTATAAGAAGGAAGAAAGATATGAAGCAATATTAATTTCAAGGATTAAGGGAAGATAAAGAGTTTATACACCTACGCCATTGTGATAGATTCTGAGCCATGTCACCCAGAGTCTTCAACCATTAGTTACGATAGTCACGTGGACCCCAACCAAGTAGTCTGTATCTACCAACATGACTCAGACTAGAAGTTAATGACTTCAAGCACTGATGCCGCGTTTTGGTTTGGCTGCCCCTGATTCTCTTCCAACCATCCCCTACACTAGTCAGCATAGCGCGTCGTGGTGATCGGTGTTCAGGTATACGTAACACGTGGCCTAACCATCTCAGTCGATGAAGATTCATGACCTCATCAACTGATTTACCATCATTCCCTAATACCCTGTGTCTAACCTCACTATTACTTACCCGATTATCCCAGCAGATACGAGCAATATTTCTAAGGCATCTGTGGTCAAATACTAGTAACCTACGAGTGTCTTCTACTCTTAATGGCCATGTTTCGCAGCCGTAAAGTAGAACAGAACGAACTGCTGCGCAGTATACTCGTCCCTTAATTGATAGACGGATATCTCGTCTTCGCCATAGGTGACGAAAGTTGGCAAAAGCCAAATGAGCTTTTTGAATCCACGCTGAGATTTCGTCAGACACCAACCCATTAGGGCTGATCAGACTTCCAAGATAAGTGAAGTTGACGACGCGTTCGACTACTTCACTCCCTATCCTTAGTTCAGGTGTTGACGCAGGCCAGTCCTGGAGTAACAATTTACATTTGGATGGGGAGAATCGCATCCCAAACATCCTGGTATTATTACTCAGTTCTAACAGAAGACTGCATTTTGTCAGCGTCTTTACCAAACAGGACTATGTCACCTGCGTATTCTAAGTCGATTAGTGGACTCTCTGGTAGGAGATCAATTCCTGAAAATTCAGTCGACGAGAGTGTTATTTCCAGCAATGGTCTTTAATGAAGTTAAACAAAATGGGGGTAGTGCAAAGCCTTGTCGGACACCACTTGAGGTTGTAAAATCAGATGACAGTTCGCCATAACATATTCTGGATTTTATGTATATGTGTATATGTTTTGTGTTAAGTTTTCCGAGTTTATAGACAAGGTAATATTATTATTCACTACATTATCATTTTTAGTCATGGAATCAAGCGGAAATCTGAATCAAAAGATATCTCCAATATTGTACATGCTTCAAGCAGCGAAGAGATCACTACGGATGATGAAAATGTTATTGAAGAGGATGTTGAAAATGGTTACTCTGAAAATTCTCATTCTATTGTCGGTAAGACTCGTGAATCTATGAATATGGGCGATATTATGAGGTCGTTACTTGAAACTAATGGTTAGTGTAAATGTTGTGTATATCCTAATTTTAGCTTCACAATTCCTTTTTTTTCTAACTCATCACCTTAAAGATACCCTAATATGTTAACGAATTTCGTGTATAATTTATCATTTGTTAAACAACAAAGCTGTTCAGAACAGGTTGCCCTAATGTTTAATCTATTAATCTATTTTTAATAATTATCTTTCCTAGATGGTAAGGATTAACAACACCTGCAAATTTTTCTTGGACTTCTTATTTATCCTTATATGACTAACTTTCAGTGGCTGTGACAATCAGTATACATGACTTTGTACATGCTATACTTTAACGTGCGTCTCTTTTTATAGTTTCCTATTAATCCCGAATGTCTATCCCGTTTCAAATTGATAACATTATTTTCCAAAAGTGAATTATAACCGATGATTCCCACATTAAACTTTTCGTCGAGTAATAACTTGTTTCCAACTGGATTGTGATACTATGTAGATTTAATGAAACAACGCACTCAAGATTGACTGCCTTAACTTCTCAGAGTATTTACATATGAAAATATGTAATTAATAAGTGGTTTTACAACAAATTATAGTTATTCACATTCAAGTTGGTGAACTCAATAATAACGTTTGAATTTTAACGTATACAGGCACAAAAATGACTGGTTGAATGTGACCCAGCAGTCGAATATGTATCAATCAATGAGAAAACAACTTATCGACGGTTTTGATGGAGTTTTGTTCTTTGAGCTGGATGGTTTGGTCGTGGAGCTTTCACCGTTCTTCTGAACGACATCATCACAAACTTCAGGTAGAAGTGAAATGTTCGGATTTCTTCATATATGGCTCATAGCTCATCGTTCAGAAGAACAATGAAAGCTTCACGAGCAAACCATCCAGCTCAGAGAACAAAACTCTATAAAAATCATCCATTTGAGCTACAAATCTCCACTATCTCATTATCGACTGTTTGTTTATCCATAAAATATAACAGACGACTAGATTATAGTTACTCATAAGTAGTATAGTTATGACACACAAATTTCCCGAAGCTAGCTGTCTATTTTGTTTATATTCGTGACTGGCTTTTAAGGCATCATGTACCTGATGAAAAGTGTATAGAACTGTGGGAGATTGTTATGTTTACGAGCTGTGATTCGAAAGTTCATGTTTCCTTACTCTGCCCATTTCCTCGTGATTATAATATGTTATCGACAGTGTGCGTTTCAAATCTGTCACAACTGGGCACCAAAAATGTTGTGTTGTCTGAAATACTACCGAATGTCCAAACTGAAGCAGATTATTTTCTTATGAAATCACTTCCAAAGCTTTTGACATAGAGGTCCATTCTACAATGCGGGATAGTGTCAGGAGATGCTGTCCCTAAAATATGTTCATACGCCGTTCGTTCTCTCAGTATCCTCGAAATCATGTGCACCATTGATTTGGCATTACAGCTTCCAACACCTCTATGTAAACCCGCCGTTTCGAATTATCTAGTTTAACCACCAGAATTTTGTTTTTCATGCTCTCAGTTTCGTAAACAGCACCCTGTCTACTTGACGGCAACAAGTAGGAATACCTTGACTGTGGATATAAACACAGTCATATATTCGAAAACTTTAAGGGTATACCACACTCCACCTTTGACTAAAGCAGGCCATTTAAAGGCTTTCCATTATGTTCATAATAGACAAGATATACAACACTATAACTACTTTGCTATCATAAGGTTGCATATTTTTACTCTCTTGTTGCACTTTAGATAGTTAGAATATTTATTCGTTTAAATACGTACATTTTGGAACTTGGCAACCTTGACCGATGCATATGCGTGCCTGGTCCTACGTTGTAGCTGACTGACTGACTTTATATTTTACCGATTTGTTTTTTAATCATTTGATTTAGATAAAATTTTGTCAAATAATAATAAGGGTTCAATGAAACTCGCAAAGGCGCAAAATATCAAGTCATGTAATGCACAGAGTTTATCCTTGATTAACTCATCACAACAGAAAACATGTGATGTTCTCACAAGTGATAGTGATGAAAATGATTTAATTCACCTTTATGGTCCTCATTCTGAATATTCAACCTATTTCAAAGACTGTACATCTTTCAGTTCGACTGATAGTGAGAACGTCATGGATAGGTCAAAACACCAGAGTAAAGAAGTTAAATCTGTAAGTCGTCCCGAAAAGTAAATCATTTATATTTCCTTTTGTCCCATATCTTAGATAATATAAATCAATTTTTGGCCTGAAGTTTTATTTGAAAGGGTTTTTTATTTCTGAGTCTAATGACATTTAGCAAACTACTCTAAAAGCTTTTCGTATTTAAATAACCTGTAAAAACCTATTTACACTTTTTTCTCTGAACTCATAAGTTCAGAAATGTTTCAATATTAGTAAAGGGCAAATGCATCTACATTTAAACTGTACCTCCTAAGAATCCTCAACCATAACGATGATCTCGTTACTACTAATTAAATAGCTTACATCTGCCAATGATTCAAACCAGTAGTCAGGGAATTCATAAGGAATGCCTTATCTTGATTTAGCCTCCCCTAGCTTTCTTCCAACCTTATACTACTGTGGTAGCCAGGATTGGACAATGAAGTAGGCAGTGGTTGGGGACATGAAACTCATATCCTAAACACCTCATTTGATGCAGATTCGCAGTCGTGTCAACCGATCTGCTATCTTTGGCTTGTACCATATGTCTAATCTCGTCCTTTCTCTTTCAGTTAGTCTGTCATATGCGAACAATACTCACAAGAAATTTATCAAGAAAAACAAGTAACTTTCGAATATCATCTACTTTAAGAAACCACGTTTAATAACCATGAATATTTTACATTTAAATGTAGATAGATAAAACTTGAGATGGTGAAGATTTTTAGCTCAGCTGGATGATTTTGGTGAAGTTTGTTTGTCTGAGGTGGTTTTCTCCTAAAAATTGATTTGGTCATATGCTTAGTAATATTTCACACTAACTTTAAGTACCTGATTGTCTCACCATGTTGCTAGTTTTGTCAGTGTATATTTGTGCTTTATTCGTATAATCCGTCACATTTGTATACTTGAAATACGTATTCTACTATTGATTTCTCTTTTCATGGAGGGAGGGTAGTCTTATGGTTGCCTATGTATTTAAATCCCTAATTCATCTTTACGTATACAAAATAAGTAGTATTACTTAATGCTTAAACACTTATTTCTGAACAATTTTAATAGCAATTGTTACTCGTTTATCCTTTGTAAAGCAACTTAATTCTAGACTTTATTGATTAATCTTTTTCCTAGATGTTTTAATGAATATAATAATTGTGTTAAATACATAGGAAAACGAATATTAATTTTCGTCAAGCAAACTAATAATTCGTAATATTGTATTTCAATTTTCCATTGATGACTTATAGCAACTGAAATAAAATAACTTCTACGATATTGTACAAGTGAATTAAATAAGATGCTGTCAATATAAGCCGAGTCAATTATTACCTATGTAATGTTTAGGTTAGTACCGGAATGTTCGGACCAACATATGATGCCATTGTGCGTAACTTAAAACTTCCTAGATGAATGTAGGTGGTGATATAACATTCAGCCAATGGTCATGACCGAAATGCGATCGCGTTTTCATCTTTTCTCTGAATTTCCAACTTGTCATCATGCCACCGAACGATAGCTTGATAGTTAGAGCACTGGACTTTGAACTACTAAACTACAAGTTTGAACCGCACCGCATCTACTTTCGTTCATGCGGCCGGATAGTATCATTAGTCCTCATATAAAACAGCTTGACTGACTACATATTCTTATAATTGGTTACTGGGTTAAATTTAGAATAAAATTTAATCTCGTTAATTCATTATATTAATCTCTAGTCTGCATGTGTATGTTTCAGCGTTCCAATTGTTTAAGTGTGAATATCAATGCTGAATAGAGTGATGCCAAAAATAATATAATAATGATTTCGTGGTTGAATCAATTGGACTTCAACATAAATAGGTTATTTCTTGGAACTTCTTCTCATCTACACTTCAGCTTGAGCAACCGGATTGTATCACCCCTGAAACAAACTAAAGTTTTTAGCCGAATATTCAACGGTTAGATTATGTCGAATGATTATATCACTCAAAATAAGTTAACATATTTTTCCCCTTAAACTAAACAAGTTACTATCAAACAGGTTATAATAACACTTTGTTTCTACATACTGTTTTTTATTTGTTTATGTACAGTCATGTGTCACCAATTTCATATTGTTATTATTACCATTACTGTTACTCTTCTTCTTCTTACTACGATTATTATTATCACTATTATTAATGTTCCAGAAATCTATAATTCATTGTCATCGAACAATATCTACAACTAGCAACCAATCACATTCTTCGTGTCTGTCATCAGATAATGAAAAACCCCATGATTCAATTTATACTTCATCTAAAGTTAAGAAATCATTTTCTATGAAAAAATATCTATCACAATTAGAAGACGAATTAAAAAATGAACCAGTTAATGTTGGTCGTTTCATTCCATCTATCCATAAATCATCAATTCACGGTAAATCGTCTAAACACAAAGCTAAATTGTTATTTAATGCAAAAGTAAGAGAACTTTTTTTTCGTTCGTGTGTATGTATGTTATTTCACCTATTTCATTTGTTAAGTTTTTACGTGTGATAAAATGTTTGTCCGAATGCAATTTGTCGAAACGTGTTTTCAAGAGTGAAAGTAGAGCAGTGGACTTTAGTCACTAACTGCTTAAGAAAAAAATTACCGAGTCTTTATCTTCATTAAATGATATATACATAAACGTTGATTAAATTAGCAAGATTGTATTATCTGTACGTTTTAGTCGCTTGTTGATCTGACTCGTGTGATGATACCAACGAAGCATACACACTGTCTACCTCGTATATAATTATCGACTTACTTCGCGTTAGAGAATAACGGAATAAAATAAGTCAAATGCGAGGATGAATTTTGGATACGTATATTTCATACATTCAATAATCCAGACAGACCATTAGAGAAACGAAGCGGATAAGCAGACTGGAGAAGGCAAATGTGCCAACTGATTTTGGTGAGTACGGAGTATCTACCTGGAGGAGTTGGAAAACCATGATTCCAAACCAATGGTGCACATGGGCTCCAGAATCCTGAAGGAAAAATTGGCGTATAAACCTATTGTTGTTCACCAGCCACCATAGGACTGCATCTCCTAAAGTCGCTCCACTGCCTTATGGATTAAACCTTCAGCTCAAAGGCTCGGTTTGTGGCCCCCTAAGAAAACCACCTGCTTCGAATTGTGCGCTCAAGGAGTATCCCAGCTTTTACACAAAGTGAATGATGAATACAATTGGAAAAATTATTCTCGCTTCAATTCGCATTCACATAAATCACGTTCACAATCGTTTGATAACATTCGTTTTTTTAAATACTACGTCACTTATCTACTCCCTTTTATTTTCATTGTGTGTATTTTACTTTTCAACTTATACAACAGCTTGCCTATGGTGGAAACCCTGTCCTATCTAAACGATCTCAAGTCACTGAATGGCCGGAAGTTGAATGCCGCCATCGGCGACAAAACTAAACTAGTCTTTCTGAAAGCACGTACACAATTCAAACTGGCCTCCTCCAACTTTTGCACATTTATGCAGATCGGACAACAGATAGGGTTGTACATGTCTTTAGAAAGTCTCAACATTGATGCCTGTTACCTATCCGGAAAGGCCTGGTGGTCGAAGCGTGCCAACGAGTTTGGAGCAGTAGCTGCTTCTGATAACTACAGGAGTCTCTTTCAACTCATTTGAGTCACTAGCAGAAAGAGGTCTGATGTGAGTGACACAATATGTGAAACTGACGAGATGTCAATCAATATAATCTACTGACGTGTTATACGATAGGCAGAGTTTTTCGAGGTGAAGTTCAACTAGTCTGCCGCTCTCACGAAATCGATCAGACTATGTAGGCAATGGTGGTGTGGATCTGTTGCCTGGAGAAAGACTTCTCGACCTTGAGTATGTGAATGATATTGCCTTACTGTCCGATGATACCCGAACCATGCAATCCGCACTTAATCAGTTTTCAGTTAGTGTTCGTAGGTATGGCATGTGCTTTGCACCTTCGAAGTGCGAAATTCTTTTACAAGACCGGCAGGCCCCTTATCCTGTACTCACTTTGGGCAGTGGGCAGATAGAAATAGTCGAGATGTTCGCGTATCTGGATAAATTCGTAAGTGCTAATGGTGGCGTGGGTGATGAGATCAATTCACGTATGGTGAAAGCCAAAACTGCTAATTCCAATCTGGGCCATCTTGGACGCCTTCGTGATGTAAATCCGGCTGTAGAGGGTCGGATCTACATCGCGTCAGTGAGAGCAGTTTTGCTCCATCCTTGTAAAACCTGGCCTCTGTGAGTTGAGGATGTTATTCGACTCTCTGTGTTTGATCATCGTTGTCTCCGAAGGATTATTGACAGCCAGTGGCAACACCATGAATGGATCGATGTTAGACTGCCATTAGAAACCTACAAGTACTGGTCGGTCATTTATCAAATGAGACCGAAGATGCCTGGTTCGAGTCTCGCGTGCGGGATCGTAGGTGTGCACTGCTAAGGAGTCCCATACTAGGACGAAACGACAGTCCATTGCTTCCAGATTTTCAGTGGTGGCCTAACATTGATCCATTCATAATACAAATCTTAACTCAACAATCTCCACAACTCTCTACTTAACTGTTATAATTGACCTAACCTTGTAAATAAAACCACAAATGCTTACAATCAGATATACTCTTAAATTTTATTAGTAATTGTACATTTCATGATAAAGCATCCATTGTCTATTTATACATATTTTTATTATCAAATTTTAATTTTCATGTAAAGCGAATGAACCACAAATAGAAATTTTAAAACGAGTTTTATTAAACAAAATACAGTTCAGTGAACAATGTTATTTACCGAAATTATGCAAACTTATTAATATCTATTTTTTATACATAGTAGTATTCTATAAAGTGAACAGTTGTTGAATCATTAAAGCCATGAAACAGTCCACGAAGAGAGAAGCTATTCATCTGTAGAACTCATTTGAATTCCACAGTAAAAATTTAACGTAGAAGTATTTTCTCTAGGTAGTATTTTGAAATGCTGATATTGTAGTTATTTTTTCATTATGTTCAAATACGAAACAAATTGTCTCTATTAGAGGCATATCTGTGAACAGAGCAGTAATAATTGAACCATATCATTCTCCCCGCCCCAGATAATATTATTGCTGATAATTGAATTGATGAAAGTAACCAAATCTGAATTTCTATTGGACATTAGGGAATTAGAGGATGTAGGGAGTCGTTCATATCCATTACAGGGCGAAGGGGACATCATTATGTAATTCCAGAAGTCCATACAGCCGTGAGATTGCAGGACTTCATGGTCTTAGATATTCAAATAAGTCGCCATTGATTATTGATTAATCTATTATCGTTACAAGATTTTTACCAAGGTCTGTTCAGTTTATTCGTTTCTTTAGAGCACTTTCTCACCTCTACCACTATAAAGAGTAATTTATCAATATAATCTTTACAACACTTGACGACGATTCCAATATCTTTTTCTGGAAAAAAAACACTAAATCTTTATTTTCTAAAAGATTATTCAATTTAGATTCATATTTTTGTTGTTGAAAAGATTAACTTTTTGATGTATCTTGTGTCAATGCACCGGTAGCTCAGCACTTAACAATAACTGATTTGAGCTGTTCGAAATTCTTTTTCAAGACTGCCGTCCAGTCAAATATTCGTTTAGTAAGGCTTTCGAATTCGGGGGTTTGTATGAATTTCATATATTACTTAATGAAACAATAAATTTCGTCTGTTGGTGTTTATTAATTGCTATTTAAGGAACCAACCGATTGTTATTATTATTATTGCAGTTTAATTTAGAAGTACTGACTGGTATCAGTTGTTCACGACACACCTTTTTATTGTAGTGAAATATTTTGTATATATCCCATTAACACCTAATACTGCATCTGTTATATCCTTTTTGAAATACCGTTTGAACATTCGCAATACGAATAGATTTTTTTGCGGGCTTTTGTGAATTGCTTTATTCGATTGTTTGTCTCGGTTCACCTATACGATTCATTAGTTGTAATAAATTTTTAGAAAAAGAAAATTCAGTTTTAGGTATTGTCACTTGGATATACTGCGCGGTAATATGTGATGGTTGTAAATAGACATTGAATGGTCCTTTCCCAATTAGTTGAGTTATCTTATTTAATAATTCCAAAGGGAATTAAACTTACTTTTTTCAATAAATCTACACACATTCCCGCCCTTGACGTTTTCAATTTGCTTTTAAAGTTTCCTTCTTTTCACCTTTTCATAGAAACCACGCGGAAATATTCCACTTGCCGAACCAGAGGATATAAATATTTGTCAAGATATTGTTGACCAAGAATCTGATTATTCTTTTGAGTCAGAAGAATCATCTTCATCATCAAACAGTATTGTAGAAACATCTGATTCTGAATTAGATCAATATGTCGCTCGTAATTTGGCTGTTTCTATGAAAGATCAATCGAATCATATCCACTTGCAACCTACCGGTCCTGCTGCTAATTTATTATCATCAATGGGTTTGCCTATACACCAAATTTTCAATTCGAAGCAAAATACTAGTAGAAACCATTCTGAATAAGTGACTCGTATAGATACAAATTTTTTAGTTAAATTTATGGTTATTCACATTGTTAAGTTGTATTGGTATTCACTTGTAAATAAAAACTAGTTTCTATATATATAAGTGTATATTCAGTGGTTTTGGAATATAGCTTCCTACACATCTTAGTTTTTTCTCTTGGATGTTGAGGTAGTTAAGCCCTCAGGAAGTGCGGACTAGCCCCTGGGTCGGATTAATAGGTTCAACAGGGGACCTTCAGGGTCACCACTTACCTATACGGTAACTTCCCAGGCGACGTCTCTGAATGTGGATGTGAATGACACGAGATTGGATACTCTAGGGAGCGCCAATTCCCTTAAGATTACCAGTACACCTTGCTTATTGGTACCAAATGGCATTAAACCTAAGTCCAGGGTTTCCCATTGGTTTCCTCCAGTCAATGACTTACAGGACGACCATATGCAGTTTTGTTTGTTTATTGATAAAATCTTTTCTGGATTTCTATTAGGGTAACAAAAAATAGTGGTTAAGTATTTTTCGGCACAGGTAAGTGATTTCTCTTATTTTCTACCAGTCAATCGTAAAACCAAAAATGTAACAATAACCTCATTAAAAACTAACTCGATATGAAATCATGATAAACTATGTCATTTTTCTGCATTGTATGAGCAGATTTTCGAACATTAATCATTTGTTTCCCAATTAAACATGATAAAATTATAGTAAGTACAGGGTTGTGGAGATTGTTGAGTTCCATTAATATGATGAACGGCCATCAATTGCTTCCAGGTTTTCGACGGTCTAATGTTGATAGGTTCAAGATTTCAACGATAAAATTAGCTTTGAATAAGGGACGAAGTTAAGTATTTTGGTGAGACTACAATTTATGGACGACCTTTGAGCAACGCTAGTGTGACCTTAGGAATGTCCACCTACTTACTGAGGCCAAATGAGTGTTACAAATTAGTATTAAGATTATAATTTACAGTTGATGGTCAGCGTTAGTATTTAGAGTTACGGTTTTCATCACGAACTTACATTAGCTATATTGGGATAGCTTCAGAGAAATACGACGGAGCCTCCAGAGGCCGTAAATGAGCCGAAGAGTTTCCATCCGATCATAGCATGATGGAGCTTTCTAGAATATCAACGTGGCATGCTAATATTGGACAGTAGCATAACATGCCTCTTTGCGGATTGGCTGAATTGTAGTGATGTTATAACAAACGCTAAGGTCTATAAATACCCATGATCTCTACATTTTGATTCTTATCCAACTGTTATAACCACCTGGATGCCCTGTTAATGTATGACGTGGTAATACCGCCAGTGAGAGAGCAATAATTTATCAATCAGACTAATTACGCATAAAACCCGTGCTAGCAGGTTAGAGTACTTGTCGGTCCTGCTTTCTGCCTAACCCAGCCACTTAAGTACAGAACACCAATTTTAGCCTCTGCGGTACGAATCATTATATTTCAAACATACTGCGTTTATATACCAATCAAACAGACCACATCGTACCATAAAATAGAAAATAATATCTGTACAAGATTCAGCCAAAAGCGGCTGTGAATGTGGGGAACAATAATTAATGGACTGGGTAAATCGTACAATCATAGTTCATAGGTCAAAATAAAGCATATAATAAGAGGGACACGAGCAGAATTTTATTTTATTTATTTAAACACATAAATATTGGTACAAGGAAACACCAAATACATATGCGCCATACAAATCTCATTCGATTTGCTTGAGGGCTGTCATACTGCCCAGGTGCCCAAACTGAAGCAGGTGGTTTTCTTAGGGGGCCACACCTGTAGCCTTTGACCTAAAGATCTGATCCACAAGGCAGTGGCGCATCGTAAGGAAATACAGTCCCATGGTAGCCAGTGACCAACAATTGATTCATATGCTATTTGTTCCTTCAGGATACTGGAGACCATATGCACCATTGGTTTGGAATCAGGGTTTTCCAACTCCCCTAGGTGGACTTTCTGTGTCCACCAACCCGGTTAAAGCGCCGGACATTCGCTTCTCGTCCTCTCAATTTCATAAACAACACCCCCGCCACGAGAAGGCAGTGAGTAGGACTTCCCTGGCAGAGGCTATATATTCGCTGGCCATGTGAGAGCATTTCGAGAGGGAGAGCGGACTCTCCCCACTCTCGGCCGTACCGGGGCATTTTGGGGCCACGAGCAGAATAGTCTAGTTAGTTAATAATTATACGTTAAAAATATATGTATCATATTGGTCATTAAGTGGTTCTCAAGAGTTACCATTCATAATTCTTATCGGGAAATAACACCAACAAACACTTCTCCAGCTTTCTTCTGTTTCCTGATTTTGCGACTGTGGGGTTCTTTACCGTCGAGTGCCGTAGTTGTATACAGTATTTTGCGTTAATCAAGTGGCGAACATAACAAACTAAATTGCCAAGACACTATTTAGCCAAATAGATGAATCAGTTTCGCTCCAAAATCCTAAGTCTAATTTGTTTGTTCATAAATTATAGTCCCGCCGGTGTTTTTATACTTCAGAGTATTTTAATAGTATTCCATCTAGCGAATTAAATTTAAGTGATAAATAGTAATCCAGTGATTTATATGTCCAATCAATTTGTGGTATTAAGCGACCAGGAACTGTTGAACCTTGGTTTCTCAGGTTTTCATTGGAACTCTTGTAATTATCTTCTGAAAATATTCACTGATAAGCATATGATAATTATCAGCATAGAAGGTTTTTCGGGTTTTTTGAATTTTAAAGTTCACGTTGCGTTCTGACCTTAGTTATGTAACCACTGGAAATCAAGAATAACTAGGTCCCTGCTGCCTAGTACTTCTTGGTTTTCAGTGGTCGTCCAAAGTCAGTACGTGATATGAATTAAAAATAATTATGTGTTCATTAGTGGTTAGATTCTGAAAGAATTCTTAGTTCTAATCAGGTTAACATGGATAATGTGGGAAGTTAAAAAGACATGAGTGATAGTTACGCTATATATTGAAAATGTGATTCGGTAGATTTTAACTCGATTATTAAAATGTATTGCCAATTTTAAAGGGTCTAGTTTGTAAACTTGATTTATTAATGAATGCACACTGGAAAAATTTTGATAATTCTTCAGCTTCAATCGGTTAGTGATGAAAACATTTTTCTTTAAATTGCTCAAATCGTCATGAGTCTCCTTTTTGAAGATCATGGATTTACCAATTATTATTATATTTATCTATTATATCCTGGAACCACCGAGTAAGTAATGCAGTTGTTAGGAAACGGGTACTAGGTAAGGATGACAAATCGATTGAAGAAGTAGTGAAACTTCATCACTTGAGATGGTTGGGAAATATGTCACGTATGCTCAACCACTGACTGCCCCGACATGCAATGTTTCATGGTGTAGGAGAAGTTGGAAGAAAGCTAGGGGCGGCCAGACCAAAACGTGGCACAAATCAATGAAGTCACTGACAATTGGACTGAGTCATGTTGGTAGGTGTAGACTACCTGGTTGGGATCCGCGAGATGATAACAACCGATGGTTAGAGACTTTAAATGACATGGCTCAAAACCGTTTGCAATGGTGGTGGTGTGTCCACTCTTTGTGTTCTCCCAAATTCTAATCTTCTGAATTCTTCATTTTTATTTCTTTTTTCTCTTTCCAAATCTATTTCACTGTATTATACTCCTTGAATAACATCTTCAAACCCTAATCTTTCGGATTACTGCTTATACTCTTACTACCTTTACCACTATGGAATTTGAATGAACGACTACATCTCTGTGCTAATGTGGTATGGCAACTCGAACTGATGTACGTACGTATGAAGTTCTACGTTGTGATTGATTGATATTTATCTGTATATGAAAGTTATAGTTTCTTAACTAATTACAGTTTTAAAATATAAGATGAAGTGAAATGAATAAAGTTATTATAAGATGGTGGTTGGAGGTGGTCAACAAGAAACCCTGGACCCAGGTTTCGTGCTACTTGGCACTCGTCAGCAAAGTGTACCTGTAATCTTGAGGGAGCTGGTGGTCCCTGACGGATTTGATTCCGTGTCACTGGATTTCCTGTTGACCACCTCCAACCACCATCTTATCTCAACATAGTGCACGCAGTGTCGAGCCATCTAGACCAGTGGCCACATTGCAACTTGATCGATAGCATTCGATCAGCACTAAGAAGCACTTGACACGCACAACATTGATCACCACCCAGTGATCAATCAATTGTGAATAAAGTAATTATCAATTAAAAATATGAATCACTGATATATTACTATTCTTTCATATTTAGAATAGTTGTCGAGAAACATGTTCATCTCGATGAAATTTTCAAACCACATAAAATCAACGAATAAAAACATAAATTAAAGTCATGTATATTGAATTTTATTTTCTGCGAAAAATTGATTTAAAATTTTAAAAAAAAACTTACATTCATGTTCAACTGATAATTAGCGTTTATTTCTAGTCAATTCATTATTTCATTCAGTTTTTCGACTAAACATTCACTATAGTTAAATTACTTTTTTATTGTGAAAATTCCCATTTTGACATTTGACAATTAAAAAAGGGACGAATTGAGCGAAGAAATTTCTTTTCAATTAGTTTTTCATCATGGCTCTACACTAATCAAAGTAATTATTCGAAAATTAAGCTGTTGCTACGCTGCATAATATGTAAAAGGAGAAGAAAGAACCAACAAAATATTTTGATGAATGGTCAGTAATATAGTAGTTATTGTAAGAGTCAAGAGACGAATGTAAAGAATAAGTTAAATACAACAACAACAAAATACAGACTCCGCTATATCGATGGCCAGCGTAGCGAGAGTGGTTGTGCAAACTTCTTTTGGATACAAAGATTCGGTTTGTGAACATGGATTGCCATGGCTTCAGTTATGTGCAAAAGACGAACTCGTAAACCATGCGGCCAATTTGATGGAATAAGGTAAATAACCTTAAAAGCTTAATTCAGTCCAACTTGATGACCTGTGTTTACCAAGTGAGTGAGAACAAAACTCTTAATCACTTTTATTTGTCCTTTGATCAACCACGATGGATGGTGTTCTGTTATTCGTTGACGAACTTGCCGAATTGTACGCTCTATATAACTGGCTCCACAGGAGCAGTTGGATTGAAAACTAATTGAAAAGAAATTTCTTCGCTCGATTCGTTCCTTCTATTTGTCAAATGTCAAAATGGGAATTTTCACTATATTGAAATGTTCTGAGCAAACATTTGCGCTAAATGTTCTCAACGAGTATCTGAAGTATAGTGCAAGGCTCAGCGAAGCGAAGGAAAATGTTGATTTTATAAAACAGTGCATTGGAACCAACTTGGAAATCTTTACGCCGCTCTAGAGTTCGACCGAATGGAAGGACTCTCAAACGCTATGTGCTTAATCAAATTGATTCTCTGAACTCATATACTTTTTTATTTATAAATTTATTGAATCAGTTCAATACTAACTAGATTGAATTAGTCTTAATAATGATTAAGGAACATAATTTATAATTTCATACAACTGTGGAGTCATACATGAAATGGAACAAAAGCATTTTAATGGACTATTGATATTAGAAGTTAGTTGGAATAAAACGAAAACTGACAATAAAAAAAATATGATTTAAAATAAACTCACGTAAAATAACTCAATCACAAATTAGTGGTAACTTGGTGAAATAAAAGAAAATCTGCCTTGTAGTTGCGAAATAAGTACTCTGATAAATTCACTTGGTATTGTTTACTTGAAT